CACTATATAACTATCAAATCTGCAGTAACCCGACAAAGCTTTTGGGGGTGACAGACGACGAGATTGCAAGAGGCTAGTGTGGAGGGAAGCCAGATGGGGTGTTTTGTCGATTGTGGAGGTGTGCTCTTTCTATTAATGTGGTATTGTATGTATGTATGCATGTATGTATTTTGGTTTTTGTGGTGGTGTTGAGTGGTTGTTGTTGTTGTAAGTGCGAGGCATTCCAATGGCCAAATGGGGGAAGGTTTGTAGACTTTATAATAGTATTGTGGTCAAGGGATTTTGGTTGATTTGGGAAATGTAAGGGAATAAAACAGTTATAATAATAGTGGACAGCTTTATAGAGTTCTAGCAGGTGGTAGCTCTGAAGAAATATATTTATGCGGGTAGAGATTGCACGCAGGTATGGTATGTAGCTCTCTGCATATATATCCAGCTATTACAGCGTAGCTTGCAAACTTATGCATATGTCTCATGCAAGATGTACATGTACTTCATACAAGGATATGTGTAGATGTATGTATGATCGTATGACAGCATGAGAACTATTCATTTGTCAAGTGTATATATATATATATATATATAAAGTTAATTAAAAGAGGAAGATAATCTGTAGAAATATGATGAACAGTTAGTTATGGAGGAATAATAATAATAAGTTGTTGACAAGTAAAAATCAACAGATTGATAATCAGATAGAAAGAAAGAGAAAGAAAGAAAGAAAGAAATTAAAATTAAAATTAAAAAGTTTAATTAGAAAGTCTAAAACAACTACTCCATTTTCCCCCTTTCTTTTCGGGCTAGCCGGATCCTGCCAAGGAGAGCTAGCCCCGCCGCAAGTCTCTTTCCCCCCTTTCTTCCCTTCTGTTCTGTTGTGCTCAACATCGCCATCGCCCCGCCTCCTTCTCTACTACTATGTCACTATTATTATTTAATTATGTCTGTTGGGTGTAGGGGTGTGTTGGCCTGGCATGCACTTTTTTTTGTGTCATATTTAGTTTCCTGTCAGGGTCGGGAATGGTGGGAGTCAGTTGATGAATGATGAATGACCTTGAGAACAGATTTTGGAGAAGGCTTGTGCACTTGGAAAGTTTAAAACATCGCATTTGAACGGGAGAGAAAATGGATTATTATTATTCTTTATTGTCTCTTCTCTACTCCGTAGAGTTCGGGGAATTCTTATTCATTCTTCTCAGGTTTTTCCATTTATTTCTTTTTCTTTTTTTTCTTTTCTCTAGTCCATAGTTAACTACTCAGGAACAAGCAAGTCTGTGCATTATTAACAATACTAGCATGGAAAAATCCTCCCCTCTCTCTCTCTCTCTCTCTTTTTCTTTCTTTTCAAGGCCAAGGATCGGATGGAGGAGGGATATATAAGGTGCGAAGAGCTCTGTGGGGAGATCTGTGTGTCTGTGTGGCGGGGATGATGATGATGATGATGACGATGACGATGACGATGACGATGACGATGACGATGAACCTACTGCGTATGTGTTTAATAATATTTAAGCGAGTGAGAGAGTTTTGTGGAGACGCAGGAAGGATAATGGTGGTGGTGGGTGTGGTGATATGATATGGGGTCGCTCTGTTGTTAGCGCGAGAGAGCTCATTATTTTCTGGCCCATGGTTTCTCTCTCTTCGACGGAGTCTCTTGTGGGAGGAACGAGGACGGCGGATGAGGGAGAGGAGAGGAGAGGAGTTAGGGAAAGCAAGCTATAAAATACAGAGTAATAATGGCATTGGTTTTGGTGAAGATCATGTAGATAGTATCATTTCATAGTACTCCGTACGGAGCACTCCAGATGGAGAGTTCTTTTTCTTTTTCCAGTTTATTTACTCCGTAGTTAAGAATAACTAGTAGATTATATTCAACTTAAAAGTTATTGATACCAAATTGTAATGTACCATACCATACCATACCATAACCGTGAACCGCTTAGATTTACTTGGCCCAAACCTTCTTTCTCACTGCTAATTTGCCAAAACATTGCATCATACATACATATCAAACAAACACGGTCATTTATTATTATTATGTAAAAGCAGTTGCAGAGTCACCACACCCAACACCGTTGAACTAGAGAGAGAGAGAGAGAGAGAGAGAGAGAGAGAGCGAGAGACAAAGGGCGGCTGGTGAGTGTTGACCCTGATCAGTTACTGAAACCCTAACACTGAACCCTAACACTGAACCCTAACACTGAACCCCTTCCCCTTCCCTAGGGAAAACAGTCGCAGCAGGAACACCACCACACCACACACCGCACGGGTACCTGAGCGGTGCCTGGATTAGTGGCCCACCGACCGCCCTATTCTCTCTCTCTCTCTCTTCTCTCTCTCTATTACTATTATTATTATTATTATTATTATTATTCACCCCTCATTCTGTTCTCTCGTTCTTCTTTGCAATTCCTTTCTTTTCTTCCTGTTTTTTATCCTGCTTTTTGTTCTTGAATTTTTTTATTTTTTTCCCCCTCTAGCCTAAATAGTAATATTATTTATTCTTCTTGTTATGATTCTTGTCGCTGCCCCTGTCTGCGTCCTTAGCCTCCAAGTCTCAGGTTTGCTGCACCTGCACCTGCACTAGCCAAGTCCCGTCTATCCTCCGTCTCCGTCTCCGTCTCCGTCACTGTCACTGTCACCTCTCCTGTCTCCTGTCTCCTGTCTCCTGTCTCTGTCTCTGTCTCTGTCCTCCGCCCGTCCCTCCCTTGCTACCCGCGTCATCTCCTCCGTCCATCCGCCCATCCGTCCATCTTCTCTCCATCATCATCATCATCATCATCATCATCATCCTCATCATCCTCATCATCCATTCATCCACCACTTCCATCTATCAATTCTTCAACTATTCCTTGTCAACTTTATCCGCTCCTCGATTTTCTCCACCCTCCATTGCTCGTTCTCCCCCCCGCTCCCCCTTGACTGTTCGCGCCATCCGTCAACCCGACGCCTCTCCATCCATATATATCAATTCGTACCCGGACTGGACTGACCGCCGCCCGTCTCACTTCGCTCCCTTTCCTCCCTCCGGCTCGGCCCCCCCGCCACCATCCAATCACTTAAAACCTAACGCCAGCCTCAAAAAACAAAAACAATCCACAACAACGAACCCTCTCATCCTTTCAACCTTCGGAAGTGTGTTCATTGTCTCCATTCCGCCCTCTTCTTCTTCCTCACTTCTTCTGCTCTTCTGCCTGTGGCCTAGCTGGAGTGAGGCCGTCATCAACCAGAAAGGATAGCCTGCAGCGTTTGCAGTCTTCTGCTGCTGCTGCTGCTGCTGTATGTCGATGGATGCATTCGGATTCCATTGATCGCGCACCATTGCCATCAAAGCTCTAATAATACCCCCGTTTTCCAGTTCATTTGCTTCATTTTTTTTTTTTTTTTTTTTTTTTTTTTTTTTTTTTTTTTTCCCCATTTTCAATGCTTTCGTTTTCGTGCCATTGAAACAGAAGCTCGAGAAATTCTTTCAATATCTTTCCTCTCTTATTTTTATATCACGTCTCTAAGAATCCTACAAAAGAAATCCAGAAATCCGTTTTTTAACGGTTTCCCAACTCTGCCAGCCTGAAGATAAAAAACAAACCTCCAACGGCTCTCCAACATCCAACAACCGTTCATACCATCATATCCTTCCTCGACGCCTTATATACTATTTTGTTCTTATTATTCGTCCATTGATTCACATATCACGACTGTTCTTCCCTCAGAGCTAATTTTTCCCCATTCCACTTCACAATGTCGGTCGCAACAATGCTCCAGCCCGCGTCGAGGGCCTCGCGGGCCTCGACAACCTCTTCTGCCTCCTCCTTCCAACCCGTCTCCAGGCAAAATACATTCTCCTCCCATGATACCCGCTCTGTTAGGCAATCAAAAAGAATGTCTGTCACGGCACTATACCTGTCAATGTCAGCGAAGGAGAAGGACTTGGAAATTTCAGATGACCTAGCAAAAGGTTTGTTGAAGTTTATTGAAATTTTGCTGTGATATGTTTGCATGGAATCTTCAGCTAGCTAACCTTATTTTCCCCCTCTCAATTAGCCCAAAGAACTCTGCGCGAGCTGAAGTCGAAGATATCCTCGCAATCTAAGAAGAACTTCGTGCTGGAAAAGGATGTTCGCTATCTTGACTCGCGAATTGCGCTTCTAATTCAGAATCGAATGGCTTTGGAAGAAGTATGATAATCCCAGCCAAGCATTCGGTGTGCCTTGCGTCCATCATTGTGTATATATATATATATATGTATATATTAATGTAATGGCTAACTTCTCCAACAGCAAAACGAAGTGGCCAGCCATCTTGAGGATGCGAATGATCTACAAGAGGGCTTCTTTCCGAATGACGACAAGACCCAGAAATATGGAAACCTCCTCTTCCTTTTACAATCCGAACCCCGCCATATCGCCCATCTATGTCGCCTGGTGACAATGGCTGAAATCGATTCACTGCTTCAGACAGTCATGTTCACCATCTACGGCAACCAATATGAAAGTCGAGAGGAGCACTTGCTATTAACCATGTTCCAGTCAGTCCTAACCTACCAATTCGATAATACCCCAGAATACTCCTCTCTCTTACGCCAAAACACCCCTGTTTCCCGCATGATGACTACATACACCAGGCGAGGCCCCGGACAGGCTTATTTGAAACAGGTATTGGCCGATCAGATCAATTCTCTCATCGAGTTAAATGACGTCGATCTGGAAATCAACCCGTTGAAAGTGTATGAGACTATGGTACAGCAAATCGAAGCATCCACCGGATCTCTTCCACCATATTTGGAAAAATCAGTCACTGCAGAGGTAGCGGCAGAAAACGAACAAGTTCAGCAGATCATTACCCCGCGGCTAAAGATGCTGACAGACATTGCAAATACTTTCCTGGAAACCATCATTCAGGGTCTTGAGGAAACCCCTTACGGTATTCGATGGATTTGCAAGCAGATCCGAAGTTTATCGAGACGAAAATACCCCGATGCTCAGGACCAGACTATTTGTACGTTGATTGGCGGCTTTTTCTTTTTGCGATTCATCAACCCTGCCATCGTTACACCTCGATCGTACATGCTCATTGAGGCCACGCCGTCCGACAAACCCCGCCGCACCCTTACCTTGGTCGCCAAGATGCTGCAGAACCTGGCGAATAAACCGTCCTATGCCAAGGAGCCTTATATGGCCAAACTCCAACCGTTCATTCATGATAACAAAGAGCGAGTGAACAAGTTCCTGCTAGACCTTTGCGAAGTTCAAGACTTTTACGAGAGTTTGGAAATGGATAACTATGTAGCGTTGTCGAAACGTGATTTAGAGCTCCAGATCACCCTGAACGAAGTCTACGCTACGCACGCACTTCTCGACAAACATTGCGCTTCTCTAGCGGCTCAAGACCAGCATTCCCACCTGAGCCATTTGTTACAGGAACTCGGCCCGGCCCCACCGCAGCTACCGCGCAAGGAAAACCGAACAATCAATCTCCCGCTGTTTAGCAAATGGGAAACAGCCATTGATGACTTGACTTCCGCGCTAGATATTACTCAAGAGGAAGTTTACTTCATGGAAGCCAAATCAACCTTTGTCCAGATCATGCGCTCCCTACCACATAACACATCCGTAACTCGGCGACCACTTCGACTCGACCGGATAGCCGAAGCAGCAGCCACGCTAAAGAACGATGCCGTCATGGTTAGAAAGGGGATACGTACCATGGAGCTCTTAAGCCAACTACAGGAGCTTGGCGTCATCGATCGATCGGATGATTTCAGCCTGTTGCGCGATGAGGTGGAACAGGAACTTGTGCATCTAGGCTCCCTAAAGGAGAAAGTCATCGAAGAAACTCGGAAGCTAGATGAGGTATTCCGCACGATACGCGACCACAATGCCTACCTCGTTGGCCAGCTGGAGACATACAAATCTTACCTGCATAATGTGCGCAGCCAGTCCGAGGGCAAGCAGCGGAAACAGCAGAAACATCAGGAGCTGGGCCCGTATAAGTTTACGCATCAACAGCTGGAGAAGGAAGGGGTGATTCGCAAGAGTAATGTTCCGGAAAACCGGAGGGCGAACATTTATTTTATGTTTAAGAGCCCCCTGCCGGGGACCTTTGTGATCAGCTTGCATTATAAGGGTGAGATACATAGTTCCTTTTTTTTTTCTTAAAAAACCTCAAGTATGTTTGGCCGCCCTACTAACCACTCTGTTGATTTTTCTTGCCTTAGGTCGTGCACGAGGTCTTCTAGAACTAGACCTGAAACTCGACGATCTTCTGGAGATGCAGAAGGATAACCAGGAAGATCTTGATCTGGAATACGTCCAGTTCAACGTCTCCAGGGTTCTTTCGTTGCTAAACAAACGGTTCGCGCGGAAGAAGGGGTGGTAAGGAGAGAAGAACGGTTTTCTCCAAAAAAATAAATAAAAAGTTTAAAAAAAAAAAGACCACCTGACGACCTCCAACCGCCCTTGAAGAAGAGAAGACGGGGAGCCAAAACGCCCCTCGAAGCATGACCTGATGTAATATTTTGTGGCTTATCACTTGCTGCTACGTTGGGTTCTCCCCTTTTTTTTCAATTATCGAACGGAACGAATATGTTGATGAGCAAAAGAATGAATGAGAAAATCCAAGAATAGTAGGCATATGCGAAAGTAAAGGTGGAAAAAAAGACAGAAAGCGCATCCAATCGCATCCGACCCCAACCGAGTCAATGCATTCTCTCCTTCCTGCTCTATGCCTGATGTCTTCAATACTTCCAAAACGGCAAAAGGGAGCGGCTGGAGGAGGTATCTTTGAGCTTGAAGACGCGGTGTTGCTCTTTTTTCTCTACCCGGCCTCTGCGTATGCCATTTCCACCTTTTCAAGCAAATCTGGGAAACAATGAACTGCGTCGGATTTTATATTTTTACTTTATATCCCCCCCTCATCTCTGGAGTGTTTAACTGGTATGGTTTCTGTCTAGTCTCCTTTTTGATGCCTCTTTTTCAAAGTTTCTGATGTTGCCCTGATTTGTTCTTTGTGTACGTTTGTCCTGGGTTGTCTTGCTATGTCTTATTTGTGTCATTCCTCTCTGCTATGTTTTGCCTTTTTTTTCTGACTGTGATTATTTGATATCCCCTTTTCTTTCTCTTTTCTTTCTTCATCCCCTCAACCTGGTTACGTATCCCCGGCGTATTTTCAACATTCTCAAGTATTCGAAAATTTCCCCAGCCTCCCCGTTTCCCAATGCCAGATTTCTCAAATTACGCCCTCCATTCATCCATTCCGAACGCCAATCGGGGTCTTCCTCTTGAACACACCACGACGGCTTGCCCCCTCGGATGAAAATATGTATCCCGTGGGAGAAACGAATATAACGAAATTACATGTCTTCTCTCCACATGCACACCCACAGACCTACACCCACGCACGCGCACACACAAACGCAGATACGCACATACGCATACCCATGCCTATACATATATCATACGTACCTGTCCATATACCCTGCAAAGGCGGAAATGGGCGATGAACGCCAGCTTGTTTATTTCCTCTGGAAGGATAAATAATACAAAGCCCGCTTATTATAAATAACCCATTTTCTCTTCCGATATCTCTCTCATCTCTCCTCTCCTCTCTCGCCCTCTGGTTTTTTCAGTACAACATCGTACGATCCGCTGTTTATCTTAAAAAAAAAAAAAAGAAAAGAAAAGAAAAGAAAAGAAAAGAAAAGAAAAGAAAAGACTTTGTTCCTTTATTTTCATTTTTATTTTTCTTTTCATTTCAGCCTGCAGATTGTGCAACGATGCATTGTCTCATACCATTTTGTTGCCTGCCCCCGCTTCGCTAGCCATCTTACCCTGTTTTCAGGTTGGGGCTCCCTTTCTGTGGTTGTTTTTGTTGATTTACCCCTTTTTTGCTTCTTCATCTTTCTATCTCACCAGTAATACTCTCTTTCTTTATATCTCTACCATGTCTATTTGATATCCCTGTATTTTTTTTTTTTTTTTGCTTGAGACGTCTTGCTATGGCCTTTTTTTCCCCTTCATCTCAAAGACAAACCTTTTTAATTTTTCATTTTTTACCGGTTCGTCTTATCTTACCATCTTCATTTCCCTCAGCTCTGGTTTTATTTTTATTTTTATTTTATTTTATTTTTTTTCATTTTTTGTGTGTAATATTATTATTCAACACAGGCGGCAAGGGGAGGTAGGGTTGTGGCTCTTTTGCTGCTTTTTGTTTGTTCTCTTCTGTTTCTCTTTTCAGTTTATTCATTTTGTTTTATTTTACTTTATTATTTCATCTGATCCCCGATCCTCCATACATATACATATACATATACATATGCATACACATACACATACACACACACATACATAAAGCTAAGCACTTAGCTAGGTCTAAGGCTGAGAGTATTTATTCTGATGATAGTTAATTTATAGCTGATCTAAGTGGTTAACTTGAAGGGTTTGATGCCTGTGTCACTTGAAAGAGTTGTGGAGAAAGAAAAGCAACTTGAAGGAACATGGACCTTTTCCCCCAATTTTTTTTTTTTTTTTTTTTTTTTTTTTTTTTTTTTTTTTTAATGAATCAGTGAAAAGAGCCCAATGAACTCAGAAGCGTTTCTAGACTTCTCAAGAAGTAGAATATACTCATTTGTCTGGAGGGGGAAAAAAATAAAAAATAAATAAATAAATAAATAAAAATAAAAATAAAAATAGAAATAGAACTAGAAATAGTCTGGTATTTTCCCCACCAACAGACAGCGGTGACAGACCGCCATCTAACTATCTCCTCCACGCTACAACCGGAGACTGACTAGCAGCTCAATAATGGGTTTGGAAGGAATACCACTTGGTGAGGAAAATAGAAATAGAAATAGAAATAGAAATAGAAATAGAAATAGAAATAGAATAAAATAAAATAAGCAAACAATGATAGAAAGAGACAGAAACCGAGTTGTCGCTCCGCTCCTCTCTCGCCTCCTCCGCCCATTCATTCGGTTCTATCTCCGCCTTCGAACCAAACCAAACTAAGCAACAACCAACAAATTACAAATTTCCAACTCCTCCTCCTCCTGAACAGTTATTAGTTACTACTACCAACCCTCCTCTCCTCCTCTCCTCCTCTCCTTTTACTCTCCTCTCCTTTCTATCTCTTCGTTCTATCTCTTCTCTTCTCTCTCTTCTCTCTCTTCTCTCTCTTCTCTCTCTTCTCTCTCTTCTCTTTTCTCTCCTTCTTCTCTACCTCTTTTCTCTCCCTCTCTCTTTGCCTAACCCCCAACAACATCACCTTTCAAAACCCTCAACTCAACCACTCAACCACCCCCCTCCCCACAAAAGAAAAACCAAAAAGCGAAATAGAAAAGTACAAAAACCAAAAACCTACCAATCCAGAAACAATGACAAGTACACCCACACCCACTCCCACACCCGCTCCCGCGCCTACAACAACCCCCTCCCACTCCCTCACCCTCGACCCCAAGTACGACAACTACGATTTCCCAACCACCGCCCCGGACGCCCAGTCCGGCCACCCAGGCCACACCACCCCGGAGCAAGATGCGCAGGTCTACCAGCTGCGGGCCATGCTGGAGCAGCTCGGCTACACGGAACGCCTGGATACCCTGACCCTGCTGCGGTTCCTGCGAGCGAGGAAGTTTGATGTTGAGGCGGCGAAGGCTATGTATGTATTTTCTCTTATCGTATCCTTTGGGTTACCTTTTTTTTTTTTTTTTTTTTTTTTTTTTTTTTTTTTTTTTTTTTTTTTGGAAGGGGTGGTGGGTATGGTATGGGGATAAGTGGCCTATATATGCTAATATGTTCATGTTTGCAGGTTTGTCGGGTGCGAGAACTGGAGGAAAGAGTTTGGCACGGATGATCTTGTGAATACGTTCGAGTATCCGGAGAAACCGCAGGTGTTTGAGTACTATCCGCAATACTATCATAAGACGGACAAGGTGTGTTCAATCCATATCCCCTCGCCTTACAATAGGCAGAAACAGGTGTCTCCCGGAAGGACCAAATTGAGACATTGTCATACACCCGACAGCAGGGAACGGAAAGCTAACAAGTCACCATCATTTTACCATACATCTAGGACGGCCGTCCCGTCTACATCGAACAGCTGGGCAAAATCGACCTAAACGCCATGTACAAAATAACCACCGCAGACCGCATGCTGAAAAACCTCGTCTGCGAGTACGAAAAGCTCGCCGACCCGCGCCTCCCCGCCTGCTCGCGCAAGGCCGGCAAGCTCCTCGAGACCTGCTGCTCGATCATGGACCTCAAGGGCGTCGGCATCACCCGCGTCCCCTCCGTCTACGGCTACGTCAAACAGGCCTCCGCCATTTCGCAAAACTACTACCCCGAGCGCCTGGGCAAGCTGTACCTCATCAACGCCCCCTGGGGCTTCTCCAGCGTCTTCAGCGTCGTCAAGGGGTTCCTCGATCCCGTTACCGTGCAGAAGATCCATGTGCTGGGCGCTGGGTATGAGGCGGAGTTGCTGGCGCAGGTGCCCAAGGAGAACTTGCCGAAGGAGTTTGGCGGGGAGTGCCAGTGTGAAGGTGGCTGTGAGTTCAGCGACATGGGCCCCTGGCAGGAGAAGGAGTGGGCGAAGGAGCCGCTGTGGGCTAAGAAGAAGACGGACGAGGCGGTGAAGGCGGAGGAGGCTGATAAGGAGAATAGTAAGGTGACGGAGGGGGGCGAGAAGGAGGGGGGGGTGGAGAAGAAGGAGGCGGATGCTGCTGCTGTGTTAAGCAGCAGCAGAGTAATGGGGAGTTGACAGCATAAATAGTTAGATTTTTTTTTTTTTTTTCCTTAATTTTTCTTTTTTCTCTCTATTTTATTTCCTTTTTTTGAGGGTGCATTTTGTTCGTCCTGTTCCCTCTCATTTTTCTTTATTCTTTTGACTGATATAGAGAGAGAGTATCTGTGTGGGTGTCTCGTTATATACTTGATGGCAAATAATTCCTTCTCTGAAGTGTCCTAGGCTCCTGTCCCGCCCAAGAAAAGAAAAAAAAAAAAGCCCCATCTTTCAAATATACTCCACTCCCGTTTACATTGACGGGAGGGTTCATTTATACACACATATCACACACACATATACACATACACACACACACATATATATATATATATATACATATACAGCTTAGTGATCCTCGCCATTGACCTTGATTTTGTTTCTAGATCGATCAATCAGCTTTCATCCGCTTTTCATTTCTTGCTTGTCCTGTCCATCCAGTCCTTTCCTCGTGCTGGCATTTCTTCTTCTAATTCACCCCTCCCTCTCTTTTTCTGCGGTTCTATTCTGTTCACCCCCTAACCCTAAATGTCCATAGTTTTCATCTTCTTGCCTTGCTTAGCCCGTATATCTTTTACATACATCTACTGCTCTGCTAGCCCACGGGACTGTAGAGGGAGTTGGATTGATATATGAGGAATAAATAATGAGTAACTATGTGCAAGTTAAGCTTATCATGAGACATCTATGTACCTATCTCTTCGCAATTGGAAACGCCGGAAACAAACGACACCAGATATCCAACGAGGTCCCCCCCAAATGCAGCAAACAACCAGCCGAATCCCCACGTCCAGTTCCCATTCCCAAGATCCAGGATTCAAGATCCAAGCATGTAGAAAACCCAAGACGCCACTACTCCTTACAGATATCAAAAAAAAAAAAAAAAAAAAAAAAAAAAAAAAAAAAAATTACATGAAAGGGAAAGAAAACGTCCGATGATGCGCCAACCACATTTCCTCATAAATTCTCTACTACTTCCGCAGCTCGCTGCGCCCTTTCAACCTTCCCGACCGTCGTCGCCAGTCCGCGCTGCCCGTCAGAGTCATCTCCATCCTCATTGCCGCCATCATGCACACCCCCAACCCCTGCCACTTCGCCCTGCAATCTCAGCAACGTCCTCAATGCCTCCGCATATACATCGCCAACCCCACCGTCCATCCACCTCCTCTTCGCCCCCGCCGTCCTGCCAAAGGGAACATGTAGCGTGAAATCCTCTCTCCTGTTCCCGCGACTCTGCCTCTGAGCATCCCGCTGTAGCTGTGTCGGCTGGGCATCCCCACCATCCACATCCTTCATATCCACATCCCCCAAACCACCACCACCTTCCCCATCCCCTTCCAATCCCACCTCTTCCTCTAACTCCTCCTCCTCCTCCTCCTCCTCCTCCTCCTCCTCCAAAACCCCCCTCAACGCCTCCGCATACTGCCCCGCCGCCTTCCCCGGCGCATCCCGCCTCAACTGCGCCACAGTCGTCGTCAGCGACTCCAACTGTGCATACAACCCCGCCACGCGCGCCGCCAGCTCAGTATCGTACGGCTCGTACTCGACCGCTTCGCGCACGTGGAGGAAGGAAAGAGGGTCCGCAGCGCCATTTGTATTGCTATTGCTATTGTTATTGCTATTGCCTGCGGCCGCCTCCGCTAGCGATAGCCCGTTTATGCTTATGGAGGGGGCGGCGGTGAGGAAGGTTTTGTGGATGAATTCGTCGACGAGGGCGCGGACGTGGGATTTCATGGGGTCGTCGGCGTCGGGGTTTGAGGAGGAGGAGGCATTGCTGGGGTTTGTAGTGGTGCTGGCATTGGGTCTGGCGGAGGGGGGGAAATGGAGGTCTAGTTTCTGGCGGGAGAGAGCGATGGTGTTTGTGTAGAGATAGGAGAGGTCGGCGGGGGATTGGAGCTCGATTTTGCGGTGGTGGGGTGTTTCCATGTTTCTGTGGGTGGATTTTTTTCCTATTTTTTGGGGGTCTTTACTATTTGGTTACACCGCTTGTATGGCCCATTTATTTTGGTAGGTGTTTTCTTCCGTAGAGGTGGAATGGATTGGTATCGATTCAAAGATTTCATGCTCCAATGGCCTGTTGATTGTTGGACTTCGCGATGTTTACGCTCAGGCCCGATTTAGCCTAGCGTCGCTGCTCTCTTGATGTCATAGTTGCGACGGGACAAACCTTGGAATATAATAACCATGTGAAAACGAAAAACATCACTCACACCTTTCAAGCTTCTAGCCTCACCACGAAGACAGGGATGAAGAAGAAAAGGAAAAGCTCTGAGTATATATTTAAATTCAACGCCTTTTAGAGTTCTTTTTGTCTCTCTCCTACTAATAGATCATATTGAAGGAGCTCTCTTAGCAGCCCGCGACTGCTCTACAACCGTGGAAGTCCTCCACAAGTATGGGTTCGGCTTCCACGCTTCCTCCTACTTTTCCTGGCACTACTACTACCTATTCCTAATACTCGCTATAAAACCCGCCGCATACTATACTTGGGTTTCCATCCTCAGCGTATCAGCCTAACTATCAAATGTCGACTGTGCCTGGGATTTCCCTTATCGACAATACGTCTACAACAACCTCGGTTGAGCGGACACCCTCCAGGAACGTTGGCCTTGAACAAAGCCCCTCAACCGGCTCGCGCACGGCTACGGCGTTAACGAAGAAGTTGAGAAAGGGTTCCATGAAGGATAGCCTAGCGCGGAGGAAATATGCAAAGTATCAGCAGAATCGATACAATACCGGCGATGGCACCGATTCCATCGACGGGGACAGCGAGGCCCGACATAGTCGGGAGCCATCGTTGTCGCAACGAGGCTCTGCCGATATGGGAATGGAACATTGGCGTTCCGGAAATACTACAAAGCTTGGTAAACAAATTGCCACTGATGTCTCATCGGAGGTCGCAGCTGTATCATCACAAGCCAGGCAGCACCCTGGGGCTAGCGAAAAGAGCGCGATTGACGTGTTGTACGAGAATCAGCGGGGCTGGTGGTTCTTCGGGATACCCCTATACTCAGCAAAGTCCCTTTTGAACCTCGATCCGTCTGCTTGGCTGACCCGCAACTTCGAGGTTAGCCCCGTAAACATTACCAATGCGCAGGTGCCGGACCCTAGCTGGGAATGGGCGTGGGATACCTGGTACATAGATATGTCCTATGACGTTGATGAGGCTGGGTGGCAGTATTCCTTCTCCTTTTCGTCGCGCTTTGCATGGCATGGTACGCATCCGTGGTATCACTGCTTTGTACGACGCAGAAGATGGCTGAGGAAAAGGGTTAAGAAGACATACATTGGCCCCGAGGAAGACATCGCTGTAGGAAAGGCATGCGCGCCGAATTGGGGTTCCTTTGCGGTTAGTTCGTCCCGGGCACCGAGCGCTGAACCTGAGAGTCGGCGAGGAAGACGGCGCGCTGTTTCGACTGTTAGCGCGAGAGCGGAGGATATTGTTCCCGAAGATATCACCAATATCGGTACGCTGTTAAGCGCAATGAGGTGGGCTGCGTTGGATAGGGACAAAATCCTCGCCGTTCAGCATTTTGTGAAATATGCGGACGAGGAATTATGTTTACTTCCGGAAAAGGTAAGAGCTCCGAGTGTTTCTATTGTCTTCCTGCACACTAAAATTTTCTTGTTCTTATTCTTGTTTCAAATGTAATGACGAAGGTATTTACCTCAATTTACAGATGCCCGAGGTTTTATCCACTTTAGTATACCATACTTCTCGCCGGCAGCTATTGGACTACATACGACACACTATCGAGACCATCCCCGCGGATTCTGAAGGCGTTCAGAAACGAAGACGAGACAGCCTTGTCAAAATCATTGAGGATGGGCGGCTGACAGACCTAGAGTTCTGGAAGGATGAAAAGGTGCTGACTCGAGAAAAGGGGAATGGTTCTGGTGACAGAGGAGGTAGTGAGCGGGCTGATCAATTATCTTCTAGAAGGTCTAAAGGAAAGGCAGTTGTACGAAATATTGCGGATATGGAATAGGCTGGGGTTAGGAAGACGCGAGACGACTGTTCTTCAGGATTTAATTTTGCGACCCCCTGACTATTTTCTTTTCCCGTTCATATGCACTAATTTTAAGCACAGCCAGTCAAGCGATGTTCGCAAGGGGCGTTACAGGCGTCTACTAGATAGCTTTATTCATGGAGACAACTTGTTACAAACCTCTCCTTTACACGTAACTATCCTTTCCTTTATGCCCTCCAGTTGCTTCGTTAAGAGGCTCTATATAGATCACCACGTGATTGATTGTTCGCCTAAACTTTCCGTTTCTCAGCTAGTTAGTTACTCTCTTGCCAGCTAGAAGAAAGTTTAGGCGAAAAAAATATCCCTAACGCGAGGTCCAAACTGATGAAACGTCTGCAAGGGAATAATATATCAGAAAAGCTTTAGTATGATATAGATATTTACTCCACACGAAGCCACGAACAACACGCCGGGTGTCACCCCGTTTGAGTCCAATGCTCCCCGGCGCCCGGCATGGTTTGAGACGGTTGTCTTTCTCCCAATCTCCCCTTGACCATGCTACCCCTTCCCGCAACGAACTTTTCTTACCTTTCCTATACCCGCGGGAGTCCTTCTCTGTACTGACCCAAGAGAGATATGTGCGACGTTCACTGTTCTCTCTGGCGGTGGGCAATAACCGGTTTAATGGGTCATCATCATCCAATTGTTGCAGACACACCAGCCTGAATCCTCACCGTACTACGAGAAAATATACCGCGCCGCCCTCGGCGTCGAATGTTTCGGATTCTACACACGCTAGCGAGTTAGGCAATCATGATAATGGTGGAGAGTCGAAGGAAATGGATACTGGCGCATCCAGCGTCCACGATACTTGCTCCACGGCTAGCGACGCATCGTCCGAGTCAAGCTCCGAGCAATCTATGGATGTATTCAAAGAAGTTGAGGCCATTGAATCCAACAGTAGTGGCATAGTCCGGCAAGTTCGCGCGGAGAAGTGGTGGAGGAAGCAATTGGAACGAGAACTAGCGGGTAAACCGCCGCTTAGGCAAAACAGGCTCTATTTGGAATGGACGGATATAATGAATGAGATCATGGCCCTGAGGCGCGATACGGCAAACATACCTGCTCCGTCATATGCTAAAACTATATACTTGTCCGAACCGGAGGTCGTCGCTCTGGCTGGTGATGAGAGGGAGAACGTGTGGGATATCAGGGTGTTGAGCGGGTGCCGTGTCCACATACTGCCACGAGAACGCGAATCTCGGGATTCCACGCGCAAGGTGGTCCTTACAGGCTCTCCGGAAGCTGTTAGACTAGCCGAGGAGGAGATTAGATCGGCCATCGAAATGGTCCATGAAGCTGACGGTAGTGTGCAGCCTGACTCTCTACCTCTCTTTGTGACTGCTCATGATTGGAAGCAGGAACAAGGGATGGATACTCCAACGATCCGATCGGTCTGGACACATAATGTGCCATTGATAGCGGAAGGGAAAAGATCAAGAATCCCCGTCCGAGCAGATGCTTTCCGAAAGCCCGAGAAGTGGACTATCAAGAGTTTTGGCGACTATCTCGAATCACTTACGAATCTCGCTTTCTCAACTTCTATTCATAACTTGTTGTATTCGGATGGACAGCTAAACCGAGATATGATCATTGATATAATACGGGAGCTTTTCACGAGTCCAGACATGCAACAGTTTCTGTCCACTAGAGCAGTGAATTCTGTCATTTTCTATTGCTACCGATACCCCCAATATCTACCAGTACTTTTATCTCTATTCCCGAATTTTGAGCACTTGATGACGACTAGGACTTTTAACGCCTTGCTCACGGGCTGCTCTAAGAGCCATGACCTAAACAGGTTTCGTTATCTCATCTCCCTGATGAAGCGATGCGGGGTTAAACCGAATGGTGTGGAGTGGGTAGCTTTTATTGACACTATTCTGTCAACCGGTGTGAGGCAAAAAGTGGTCGCGCGCCTGCGCAAGGAGAGACTTCTGGATAATGAGCGTATCCTTCGTCGTCTCGTATACCGGATCATTCCAGACTCGTTCACTTCACATTTAGACAGTGGCCAGTCCGTTAAGGACTATATTGCAGTGATGGATAAAAGATACGGAAAGAACTGGATATGTACCGACTCAATAACACATATGCTCGGCGTAACTGTGCGTTTACACAATACCGAAGCAGCTCGCGAGATTATGCAGTTCTGCAAGCAATCGCGGCTAAAGCTGGATGTCCAGGGCATGAATTACTGCCTTGCGGTGCATCTCAATAAAAAGCAGTACTCAGAAACAATCGCCGTCTATTTGGATCTTATCAGCAAGTACCGTCGGCTCCGAGCAAATAACGAAACTATCCGAATTCTCTTCAGCGCCGCATGGCAGGCTAGACACTACAACACCTGCCGTGTCATTTGGGCCTATGCCTGTTTCTGGGGCTTCACAACCAGCAGCATGAAACACATGGTCCTATTCTCCCTCCTCCGAAACACAGTACCCACAATGGGCGACGAAGCGAGGCAAGACTGGCTTAAAAAGGCCGGCAAGGCCATTGCTGGAATTAATCCTATTATGTCTGAACTTGATTCTCGTTTTGACGTCCTTAGAAACGCACCACGTACTCCTGCTCAAGAAATGCTGGGGAGCGATAGCGTTATGTCCTTGTTGACAGAGTATCAACCCGCCGGTGAACTGCGGAGCCGGCAGCGGAACCTTGCCCTCTGGATCATCCACGGGGACTTCCTCGCGGCGTGGCGTTATAAGCCGCGGGTAAAGTTCGAGGAAATGATGTGGGAGGCTAATATGCTTGATATGGCGTGGTGGGCAGAGGGTCACGCTAGAAATATGTCGGTTACGGAAATTGTTAGAGACGTGATCAGAATTCCCGTGGATGAGAAGAACAGGTGGAAGAAAAGGACGAAGGAATATGGTAACGAGCAATTGGAGGATGAAATAAGAGAGGAGCAACAACAACGACAAGAAGAAGACAAAGAAGAAGAAGAAGAAGAATTGGATCAGCAACCACAGGAGCCAGAGCAAGGGCCAGAAGGACGTTTAGAAGGCCGGCCAGAAGGACGGCCGGAACAAGTGCTGGAAGGAATACTAGAACGAGAACTAGAACGGAACCTAGAACAAGAACAACGACGACGACGGCAACAGCAAGATATAAAGGGGAAAGAAGAGGAGACGGGAGAGGGTGTTAACAAAGACGCAACCATTGTTTCTAATGCAAGATCTGCTCAGCCTGAGCTACAGTTGGAGCACACGGGACATAAAGAGGGATGGATGGGAGGGTCGGTTTCAATAGACGAAGTTAAGGAAATGTTTGAGAGAAAGGGTATCTCCTGGAAAGGGCCAGGCAGCCCTTGAATGCTTACGAGTGACCTCGGCCTGTTATATTCTGCTTTATATGTATTTATATAGATCCCCAACACCATCTGTATATCGCTTCTTCCACATCTTCATGATTCCCTCCCTCGCCTTTTTCCATCTATGTATTGTATTTTACCTTATATCTGACTTGTTCTCAAGTTTCTTGCAAACTACCCGACCGGACTCTGTTGGGGAACGGTGCACTGTTTTTGCATTGTCTGAATTACTATCTAACATCGATATTTCTCCAAAGATATTGCCTTGATCCTTGATCATGTTAATAGGATCATCAAACTGGGGGGTATCTAACAGTTTAAGTGAAATTAAACCTTCGCTCTCTATCTCCTATTGCCAACTCCTTTATGCAAAAAGTGCCTTGGATGCATCCCTGTGGCTTCTTCGGGTTGATAATCACGGCCACGCCCATTGGTGACTCACGGGGGATGCTGAGCCTTGTTCTGGATACTGGGTTTTAAGGGAAGGGATGGAGAAATGGTCCTATCTATCATCCCCATTAATTCGCAGGCTTTTTGGAATCCACTGTTGAACCCTCGTGAGTCCTCCCTTGCGTAGGTCGGCTTCAGCGGCTTCCTCCGTCTCGCCAACCCATTTATCCCATAGCACATTGAAACTGAAATTGCACTGACTAATCAGCAAACGTGATGCCCCGGATGTTCCCCATTTTCTTGCATTGGTAGTCCGTCCGGATGACACCCATATGGATCGAAGGTGGTCGGAATGTACCCCACACCTTCCTTCAGATACAGTACGAGCCGGAAGGCAGAGTTGCCATTGAGATAGTAGCGGTGGAGTTTCTTGCTGCGCAGGAAGCCTAGACGCTCGTATAATTTCATAGCGGCGGTGTTGGTCGTTTCGGTTTCAAGGACGATCTAGATACGGAAGGATTGGATGTTAGTTGTCTGCTTGTGCTGGGAGGGATACCTCCGGCATTGTTGGAGCTGCCGCTCGAGTAGGACGAAACTTATGGTTGTTGGCGGGATAGCAAGGGAGCGGGAAAGAAATAGAAATACCTCATCCGCATCTCTCGCAATCATGGCATCGATAGCCATGCATACGAGCTTCGTCGCGATGCCTTTGCCTCTATATTCTTCCCGAACGGCTAACATGGCGATATACCCGCGCAGAGGCCCGCCGCGATGCGGTTCGAGTTTTGATACGACAACCCCAATCAGATTGTCCTTTTCGTCCATTGCCTGTATATATAGTAAACGTGGTATTAGCTGAATGTATATATATAGAGCTCTGGATTTCGTATGCGGGAGGCAAGGGTGCCTGTAGCGGGGTAATCTGAAATGCAACTTGGAACTTTTACCATGTAGCAGAGATCACCCCACTGATAGAGGAAATAGCGATAGACATAGATGCTGTACGGCTCCGAGAGATCCTTGGATATTAACTGGCGCATTGCAGAGACATATTCGTTCTCCTTGTCGCTTTCATACTGGATATAGCGGAGGTCTCCAGCGGAGGAGGGCGGGGATGCCGCAGTGTCGGCCATGGTGGATGTGGCAGGATCAGCGTTGCGATATCATGAGCAGCCCTCTTTTGTCAACTTTTTCTTTCGAGTTCGTCCAATTGGCACTCACTCCCATGTCGGCGATACGAAACCTGTCTCTCGGTGGTTGGGGTGGGGGATGTTTTTACACTCACTAGCTGGCGTTTCCACTCCCGATATTTAGCTCTAAATAGCTCTGGCCAACCCTTTCCAGCTCTTTTTTCCCCTTCCCTGATACATACACACCAAGCTCCAACTTTTCCCATGTGATTCTCCGTCTGTAATGACGGGCACTTTCGCCCAGTCGACGACATCCTTTATATCTATATATTTATATCTATAAGCTTCTGAAACAGCAGCAGAGAGAGATCTCTCCAATACTTCGCCATGTCGGGCCTGCGCCGTCGATTTGGGCAGATCTTCTCTACCTCTCCCCCGAGCTCTACATCCGAGATACCCGCCATCTCTACCCCAGACGACAGCAACAATAATGACGGTAATACCAACAGTAGCAGCAGCAATATCCTTTTGGCGCACAAGGATGGAGAGCAGCTTCATTTAGAAACGGACTTGAAGCTGCACCAAATCCCCGTGAAGCGGAGGAGCAAGCGGCGCAATGGGTTGATATTCGGACTCGGAGGCGTCTTTGGAATATTCTTGGCTCTTTTTTTCGCAAATCAGAATGAGGTTATTAGCTTGGATGCGCTGATGGACCTAAATTTGGATTCTTTGATTGATGTTATGCCCGCAGGCATTATCAGGGACGCAAGTCAATTTTCGGTATGCTCGACCTCTCAGAGTTTTCTTCTACCTCTACTTGTACTTTTTGGAAAACAAACACCGAAACTAGAACTAACTTATAATATTTTCCCTTCTTCGCCTAGCAAACGGAACGCGCAGCTGTTAGCTATGATGCTTTCTCGGTTGGTCTCGGCCTCAAGGCCCAGGGCATAGTAGCAAAGCACCCGGTCATTATGATTCCTGGGGTTATATCAACAGGGTTAGAGAGTTGGGGAACGGACGAAAAGTCAAGACAATATTTCAGAAAAAGATTATGGGGAAGTTGGAGTATGATGCGAGCGCTCGTCCTCGACAAGGCCGGTTGGAAAAACCACATTATGCTGGATAAGTTCACGGGCCTAGATCCCCCCGGTATTAAACTCCGCGCCGCGCAGGGGTTTGATGCAACAGACTTTTTCATAACGGGATACTGGATCTGGAACAAAATTTTGGAAAATCTAGCCACTATTGGCTATGACCCGATTAATGCGTTCTCCGCTGCTTATGACTGGCGCCTTGCCTATCTCAACCTTGAAATGCGCGACCACTATTTTAGCAGACTCAAGACCTACATAGAGACGGCCGTGAAGCTTTCGGATAAGAAGGTCGTGCTTGTTTCCCACAGTATGGGCTCGCAAGTTGCCATGTTCTTCTTCAAATGGGTTGAGAGTCCGGAACATGGAAATGGAGGAGCTGACTGGGTAGAGACCTACGTCGATTCGTGGATTAATATCAGCGGCTGTATGCTGGGAGCTTCAAAGGGAGTTCCAGCCATTTTGTCAGGAGAAATGAAAGACACCGCCCAACTTAACGCATTTGCGGTCTACGGACTCGAAAAATTTCTTTCCAAGGGGGAGAGAGCGGAGCTTTTCCGCGCGATACCTGGCATATCAAGCATGCTCCCCAAAGGCGGGGAGGCGGTTTGGGGCAACAATACCTGGGCTCCAGATGACCAAGAAGATCAACCCTTTACATTTGGCAACATGCTTAATTTCAAGGAGACGAATTCGTCAAACACGCAACAGAACCTGACTGCTAAGACCAGCCTGCCGTTCCTCTTCAAACACACGGAGCAATGGTACCGCGACCAGGTCCTCCAGAATTACTCCCATGGTGTCGCTCATACGACGGAGGAGGTCGAAGCGAACGAAAAGGACCCGCGCACGTGGTTAAACCCGCTGGAAGCACGCTTACCCCTCGCCCCCAACCTGAAGATCTATTGCTTCTACGGGGTGGGCAAACTCACGGAACGTAGCTACTTTTACCACGATGATACTGATCCGCTCTCGAAGCTCAATGTCAGCATCGACACAACAGTGACGAACGGGATCATAGATCGTGGGGTGGTCATGAGCGAGGGAGATGGCACTGTCAACTTGCTCAGTTTGGGATATATGTGTGCGAAAGGGTGGGGGATTAAACGATATAACCCCGCGGGCGCGAAGGTGAAAGTGTATGAGATGCCTCATGAGCCTGATCGTTTCTCACCTCGAGGAGGGCCCAACACAGGTACTTTTTCTTGTTCTTTTTTTTTTTCCTCCTTTCTTTCACGTTCTATCCCCCCGTTTTCGTCCAATACTACTCCACCGTTTTGCACCCCATTTTTAACTCTATACATCTAGGCGACCACGTCGATATTCTTGGGCGGTCCTTGCTCAATGATCTAGTTCTTCGCGTCGCAGGGGGCAGAGGCGACATGATCGAAGAGAACTACGTGTCACGAATAAGAGAGTATTCCGACCGCGTCAAGGTTTACGAAGAAGAATGAAGAAGTAAAACGAAAAAGTGCAGTAATTATACCTTACATTAATACCCCTCTGTGTATAAAAAGAAAACGAATTTCCTTCCCTTTCTCTATTCCCAAAGACGGCTTTTCCCTGGTGTCTTTGCCTACCTCCACATCCTCTCTATCCATATCTTTTCCTATTATTTTCTCCCTTTTGCTCTATTGGAAAGACTCCTGTACGCATTGCATTCTCACTTTTTTTCCTTTCTTTTCTTTTCTTTTTTCCCCCCCTTTTGGATTCCATCGTATATACCACTTCCGTTGTACCCATTATACTTTGCTTTATACCACCCTCCTGTACATCCTGCATTGTTGTCGATGACAAACAGCGGTGTTTTTGCCCGTGGTTCTCCTTGTACAATGTTGTGTTGGCCTTTTTGTATCCGGCCTGCTTCTTTTCTTTCTTTCTTTCTTTCTTTCTTTCTTTCTTTTTCTTTTTTCTTTTTTCTTTTTTCTTATCAGATCTGCTTTGTCATGCAGCCGCGGATATCTCACCTGAGAGAGAAATTCTGCTTAAAAGTCAGAAGACTTGAAAGGAAGAGAGGGAGAGACCTTGAATATGAAAAATATATTACGATAAATAAATATTTAACTATGGCAGTGTAGATTGGTAAACACAAGATATCAAAACAGACACACGCAAGGAAACACTTCCAAACTCTCGCTCTGAATAAAAAAAAAAAAGTGAAGTAAAGAAAAGAAAAGAAAAAGGAAAAAGTCGCTGAAGTGTGTTTGTATCCTTCGAGTGGGATGGACAGTTCCCGATACAAATTGAAGAAAATCCCTGAGAGCCCCTTTCACTTCCTACATGAATAGGGGTCGGTGCAGAGTTGATACGCGGATAAGGCGAACCTTTGAATTTGAATCAAAAACAATCTAAAACGCTCTCCAAGCAAATAAACTCTCAAGATCAATATGGACATGTAGGTATCAAGACAGCGAGACGTAGACGGCATGTAAATGAAAAATAAAAAATAAAAATGGCCAAACCAAATGTAAGTTGAAAATAGCCACAGCATGAAATTCTTCCTTTAGATTCCTACTCGAATCTCTCTGCAACAGAACATCAATGGCAACAAGGAAAATGCCGATGGTGCCAACCTAACCGCTCAGGTTACTCCTCATTCCATCCATCGCAATGAACCTCACAGTTTATCAGCCTCGTTTTCTCCATTTATTTTTTCATTCGGCATCGACACAGTGATATCTACACCTAATGTGGCAGGCGACACTTGCCTTTCGTAGCAGACTCACCACTTGATGTCACGCAGTCCAAGCAGACACCACACATTCCCGCCGTCAATTGATGCAACTCCAGCCACAGCGATGACTTAAAGTCCCCATTAACAGGACGTGGATTATCCCAGTATCTTTTGGCGGCGTATGTACATGTACCTGGGGTTGCCCCGAATCCGGCATGCCGAACGCCTTGCTGCCAAGGAAAAGGCAACTGGGGCTCCGCATATGCGAATCTCAGATAGTTTGGTGCAGGTCTCTGCGACGCTGAATTTCTGTGATGCGATCGTAAGTGGCCACAGGCCAGACCTGCTGAGTGCTTTGCGAATTCTGAGGATGAACTGGGCTCTGCCGGCACATCGTCTGTTCTGAATGTCCCCGATGGCTTTTTCCCACTCATGGACCTGGGGAAACTAATTCTGCATTCCTTGCTTTGAATTCCACTGGAAAAACGTAGGTGATGACAAAAAAGTGGTTTTCTTTTCCGTGGTTTGTGAGTGAAATGGGGGTAGGGCGCGGGTAATTAGGAAGATCCAGCCAGGTACTACTTACCGAGGATGTTCCCCCTAACGAGAATATGCTCAGGGAATTTATGGAAGTCGGTAGCAGGATATTTGGGTAGTATAGCCTTGGATATTTTGCCTAATGCACCTGGTAGATAGATCCATAATATATGAGAAATACAGAATCTCGAGGCTCTTTTCGAAGGTCATTCCGTCCCCCTCTAGCGCTTCAAGATGCCCCTGGAGCCATACGCCTGTAAATGGAAACAGGGGCTTCTCGCAGCAGTATTTGTCTGCTACGACTGCGAGATCGAGCAACTGAGAGGGCGTACGCTTTGTAGGGATCGCCTGAATTTTATGATGGAGAACACGAAACAGAAGTATCAATGCGTTGGCATCGTCGTCAAACAGCTGGATCACACAGACTTTTTCCCCAGGGGCAAGAATTCGGCTCAGCCCGTTCGATACTTTCCTTCCAAGAGGAGTTGAGTTCGCGCGGTCGAATCGGTTGGGCGCCTCACAGAGCGTGTCGGATGAAACCTGAAGGTACAATTTCGTATTCTCTGGCATTTTGCGAATCTCCAAACAAATCTCGCTGTTGGTGTGGCAATCTGGATGACCTGAGGTTCTTTCTTCCATCCTATCACCGGATGTAGATGGCAGGGAAAGAGGTGTACAAAAGGTCAAACAGGATTGATAATAAAAAACAGAAGAAGAGAGAGTTTAATAATAAGCTCTGATATCTCAACAGAAGTTGAAAACATATAATTAACTTAAGAGAAAAAGATTATACGCAGTAGATGAAAAGTGAAGAGTCTAATAATAAGAGACTGAGTAGAGCTCTCTTTTCATTGATCAGTGTAGTTGTCAGTAAAAGTAAGAAGAATATGTTAATATTATAGTGTTGTATAGATAGATCTTCACTGAGCTCACTTCACATCAGTAATACTATAACAGACTAGATCAGCAGAATATCAACATGTTGTTACGTTGAAATGGAGGCACTTCTCAATTGTGTGTCAATGTTAATGATCTGACAGAATGTTGGATGTACTGCATCCTGAGCCCCTTTCCAACACTGAGGATGCATTGCTTTTCAACGCGAGAAGAGGATGGTAGTAGTAGTAGTAGTAGTAGTAGTATCATGGCCCGCATTGTTCATCCATCTAAATTTGAATGCCAGACATTGTTGAATAAGCCCCCACTTGTCTCTCCGCAGCGGTAGACGTCCGCTCGTACTATGTATGGATAGGGTATGATTTGGCCAAATATAAGATATCCATCCATACGAATAGCGGGGCGTCACTTTGAGCAAAAGCGGAAGCAAAGCAACCTCAGAATATGCTGGCAGACGGTCCTGACCAAATCTGCTCGCGGTACAGATTTTCGAAGGCATCCAACCCCCCTCTTACGACACGATGGAAGAGAAGGAAGGGATGGTTGGTGGTGGTTAGGAGAAGAAATAATGGACGTCATTATTAATTGGTTAAATTATATGATATGTCAATATCCGTGTGGAAATAAGAATCCCCGACCCGACCAACAGCAGCGACGAGGAAACGGAGAGAAAAAAGAAAACCACGGAAAATAAAACAAGCAAAGAAGAAAAATTTGTTCATCATCGTCATCAGCACATACGCTGCGTAGTCGCACCTTAAAAAGAAAAAAAAAAAAAAAAAAACTCCCCTTTCTCCTGATTTCTGCTAGCTTTTGTGTGGTGTGGTGTGGCCGTCTCCCTCAAAGCGCCACACACCCCGTCATATTCATATAAAGCCCTTCCGGCCTAGCTTGCTCTTCATTGCAGCAAAAAGGAGAAAAAGAAATTACATCTTGCTTGATCCGAGTGTTTTGCTCCACGCGAAACATGACAAACGTGAAGAATAGGAGGCACCCGCAAAAATAACAAACACCCGCTCAACTGCCCGCTCACTGCCCATTGCACATTTATCGCCCATTGCCAACCTGCTCGTCATCACAACCACAGTGGAGGAGAAAAGATAAGGGCATGTACAAGAGTATCTTGCTCGGCTGGTACGGGGAATTTGCCGAAAACAATAATAGCCTTGCATGGAATGGGAAATGGGAGTAGGGCGGTGCTAGCTCGCATAATAAGCAAACAACAAACGAATGTATATCCCATGAGGTGAAGGCGGAACCCCGTCAAATGCAAAATCAAGTGCCACCTCAACTAGAAAAAAAAAAAAAAAAAAAGGCAGAAAAACTTTAACAGGTTTAAAACAATCTCTATATGCTCATGGTTGATGCAAACGATCGAAAAGAAGAAAAACGAATGGAAGGAAAAATAACTAGGGATTAAGGGGAAATAAAAAAATAAATTGCGGAAAAATTTCAATGAGCTATAATAAGCCCTCTCTTCTTTGTCCGCATATCCGCATCCCCCGCCGCCATACCGACTCTAGTTTGTACAGTACACACAAGTCCAACACCCATCCATGAGCGTAACGAACGTAATGCAAGGTTGAAAAAAAAAAAAAATGGTTCGCGCCATAACGATTATTTTTACTTCCGTGGATGTCCTAGTCGGACAATTTCAAAGCGCCCTTGCAGGAAAATGACAATCACGGAGAGAAAAAAAAAAACAGCCTCCGCCAAATCCAACGTGACGGTCTTCCGAGTTATACCACAGTCTGTTTGAAGGATCCGATTTCCTTCAGGGGACATGGTGGAAGGTGAACCGCAGATCGTGCGCGTGAGAGGAGAATCGTGCCTGGGTGCTAGATAATGATACCCGAAAAGCGAGGACCCTAAAAATGCTATGACCAAAAAGGACCAGGGGCATATTTATTGGGAAACGAAAAATTCTCCGTTATAGGTCCGACGATCTATTGGTTCAGCTGGCTGAGCATGTGACCGGTAAACAAGGGCAACTAATTATCCGAGGGGTGATCATAGTAGGACTGATGGTAAAAATCCATGGAGGTGCTGTTGAGAAGCGAAGATAAGAAGGAAAAGAGGTATCCAAAATCATTAAAGTTAAGTATGTCTTTCGAAAAGTAAGTCGCTCAAAGCAGAAATAACAGGAGGGCTCCAGAATATGCCGTGAGTCATTAATATAAATCCGCTATTACTTCAAAATGCTGTTGTGTTCTCGACAGGGGGGCGTTGCCAAGTATTGGTGGGTTTTTTTCGAGGAAGAGGATCATCGGAATGTGATTTTAAATATTAGCGACCTGCTTCGAGGTCTGAGTTGGCACCCAAGGTCTCGCCATCCCAGAGGGATTGAGCTTCATCCACAGGGCTAAGAGATCCGGAAGATATGGAGGAAGACGATCCTACGGTCCATTCATCGGAATCGATGTGTAAATCGCCATGGAAGTTCGCCAAGTCATAACCATGGTCGACTGGCGATTCTCCAACCTCCACATAATCATAGTCCCACCGGAACATCTTATCAGGCTGGACTCGTGGTATGAATTTGGACTTGGCAAAGTAAAACGAAACGGCAGCTAGGAAACCGCCACCAATGAGATCCACTGCGTAATGATGCGAAAGATACATCGTGGACCACCACAGCCAGGCGGTATACATGATAAAGGCGGGTCGAAGCTTGGGAAATATAAGGCTCAAAAATAGAGACTCGAGGGTCGCGTTCCCGGCATGCAGAGAAGGGAAGGCACCAAACGGCACAGGCGATGCCGTAAAACCAGATGTATATATATCGATACCGAAAAGTTCATCAATCCGGGCCAATCCACCAGGTGACCCTGGTATTCCGTAATGTGCAGGAGCTAGTCCATATAGGTTCTCGTACCATGGAGGTGAGCACGGGAATAAAAATTGTATGGTGACGGCAGAAATGCACATGAATCCAAATGTGCGGGCGAAAATTGGGGTCATTCCAGGGGGTCCGAAGATAAATATTATAATGGAGCATATAGCGGGAGCCGCGTAGTGCATAATGCCGTATGGAACCCATGCCAATATGTCTAGGAAAGTATTCTGACGGGCAGAAAGAATATTGCTGAGATTGGCACCATAGAAGATATTTTCGAGTGCTGGAAGCACACGCACCCATATTGGCGGCCGCCAGTCGCTTGGAATAAATCTGTTTTAAAAGGAGTGGGATCGCGTCAGCTCGAATGCATCTCAATTGATACCATACATACACCATCGCCGCCGTCCTCAACGATAAAAGAAAAAAAGAAGTTTTTTTTTTTTTTTTTTTTCGGGGCAAGAAACATACTGGCAGGCATAGAAATAGATTAGCCAAGCAATAATAGGGAGAAATGGTAGGAAGAATTGGCAGCTGATCGGGAAAAGTAAAGACATTATCAACCCAAAGGCGACCAGGGTCTTGGCGAAGGGTCCAGGCGATTCAATGATGCAGAGAGAAAAGATGCCAACAAAGAGGAGTACGAGATATTGTCCATCATATACGCTCCACCGATGAGCCTGTAGAGTCTTCAGCGTGTCGAGGGGCGAGAAGGAGCTATTAAGGGAGGTTATCGATGAGGACGGAGACACGCGACTTCGTAGCTTTGACCGAAGTTTTCGGCGCACGCGGTGGGGGAGAAGCATTTGTATGGACCGCCATGGTATTACAATCTGAACTTTGCCGAAATAATTCTGCGAATTATCCTTCCATGATGGAAGCACAGGGTTCATGACGCCAGCCATTATGGAGAAAGGCGCCGGAGCAGTCGAGGGAACGGGTACAAAGTTGGATGGTATTTAGTCGAGAAGGGCCTAGGTAGGTAGCCAGGGCGAGCGATCTACGGGCGATTAAGAACGACGCAGAAGGCAGACGGCCAATCCGGGCAGCCTAGGAAGGAGCGTCAACGGCTGGCGAGGGACTATATAGCCCTGGGGAGCTGAAGGAAGGAGGAGGGAGTTGGAGGAAGTGAGGATCGCGGTGTGACCAAGCAATCGACATCAGGGAGGGAAGGTTGACGCCGTATTGGCTGGGACAGGAGAAGAAGGAGAGAAGCACAGCAGGCTACTACTGACAATCAGGGCACGGGCGGAGAGGACGCGAGAGAGTGAGAGAGACGACATAAGGAAGAGAAGGAGAGAAAGAGAAGGGAAAGGGGAAAAAGATGAGGTTTGACACTGGGTGAGAAAAGCGCCTGTGGCTAGCACGAGAGAGGATGAGGTTCGTTCGTTGTACACTCTGTGTACAGTGTATTGTATTTTTGGTATGGCGCGGGTACGGTACGGTGCACTGCGGCCGCTGGTTGGCCTAGCACGGGTTGGCGCAACATCTGTTGTACTCTGGTAGCGGGCTTGGTGCGGTATTTTACAATACCGGATACAACCATACCCAAGCCCGGCGGATGAGGCGGAATCACCGGAGCTCGGGGTCTTTTGTTATTGTTTTTTTGTTTTGTTTTTTCTTTATTTCCTTATCACTTTCTTGATATTCAGATGATATTTATTACTGATAACCTGCAACCTGCATACAAAACTGCTGTGTCTCCTTCTCAGTGCTACGAACGATGAGTTGCTGGACAGAAGCAGCACGATAATATCTATTTGTTCCCCAATCGCCAGCCAGCATTGAGGGCGGGCCCCTTGCAAGGCCTCGCCTCAGGAGTCAGGAGTCAGGACTCGGCACTCAAAAGCTCCTGTCTGGCGCCTCCGAGGAGACTAGAGAAAAGCCGTCTCTGTGACGGGGGAGAGAAATGCGAGAACTAGGCCAGTCCCAGCAACCGGGAACGGCATTTTGGCGTCCATGCTCAAGCTACGGATCGAGGAGTGCGGGCTCGCTGGCACGGGATCTTTGTATTCCGTTTCGTTCTGTCTGACCAGGCGCCGAATCCAGCGCTGTCAGCAAGAGCTAGCAACCGCTAGCAAGGAGCTAAGTTAAATGAGCTGCTTGGCAATGCAAGCCGTGCGCCTCCTTGTGGCTTTACGCGAGTTGTGAATCTGTGATAGTTCTGACATTTTTATACTAGACGGACGTACAGGTTTAACCTCTCCGCTTCTATTTGTTCAGAAAAAGTTTTCATAAAAAACGACCCAAGCTGCAGATCCTGATATCAGCGCTATTATTTGCACGATGTGGGTACGGAGTACAGAACATCGCGAAAGGGAGCAAAGAGACCCCGATGGCCGTGCTCTAATGTCTATGTACGGAGGATGGATCCTCCGTATTCGCGTATCTTGCCGGGTTAGAAGGGTCCGGTACACATCTGGATATCTTTCTATTTTGTTTTGATCCAGAGGTTAAGCAAAAGGGAAGTTGTCCTCCCTGAGTGCTTGTACTCCGTACAGAGTACTCCGTACAGAATATGTAGATGGGAAATGGGAAACCAGAAAAAGCACCCTTTCTGGATAAGGGCAGAAAATTTCGCGCAAAAATGAGTTAACCTAGAAAAAAAAAAAGCCAATTATTATAAAATAATGACGCGTGTCGCTAAATCCATCCAGTAATACACACCTGTATAGGCCAATACAGACCTGTCTTCTACGTAATAATAATATACCGCTTCTTGTTGTAACTTATTATTGTTCTCACAGCTCGGTTGGTATGGAAGGGAGGAACGTGTGAAAGAGGAACATACGCTCCAAACCTTTGATACTCGATGAATGGAGCAAAAAATCAAGTGACGATTCACGCATGATCTCATGACAACCTTTTGATAATGTTCCCTGTCTTGTTAGGATCGAGTTCTTGTCTCCACATCTCTAGTTACGGATTGCCCGGCTATGCAGTTACAAATCACACACAGGCTATTATTTTGCTGCAGCCCACAACGCGACACGACGAGACGGCGGACGACGACATGCGACGACCCAAAAGGGCAATTTCTTTGGTCGGTTTATCCGGGTTTCTCCCAGTTTACATCTGGTGGGTATTATTGTTCGGTGACTTGATAACCCAACTCAACTGACCAACTCCTTCATGAAACATCTACCTCCGAGTGGTGTTGGTGGGTAATAAATAATGGTTACTATGCATATTCATGTACAGTACATGTACAGTACATATCTGCGCTGTGCTGGTTATGCATATCGGCGGCATCTTGATGTTCCCCATCCTCTGGATATGGATATGCGGGGAGGTTCTGTGTATCTACGCAGCTATCACTATCAGATCACAAAAGGACTTCCATATGGGTATTTTGGCCTGTTCAGAACATGATTTACACACACCAACCACACGGCAGCAGCAGCAGCAGCAGCATGTATAAGCAGGCCGACCGACCACAGGCAAGTCCCATGCAAATAGCGCATTGCATCTTTCCCGGGCGAGAATCTGCGCCGATGGTTGGGCACGTGCGCATCGATCCCAGCAAGCTCGACACATCGCCAGGCCCAAGAACAACCCTCCCCCCTCCGTTCTCTAGGCGCTGAGTCGGATTGGGGATTGAGGGAATATGGGTGCGCAGTTTGGATGGTCGGGATATACAGAGCGCGTACCCCGGACCGTTGCGAAAACTTACCCCGTATCTCCACCAGTGTCAAACAACCCTTGGAGAGCGCGGGGCCCTCAGAAGCCGATCAGGTCTCACTCAATCTACTTATTACTTAACGCAATGTTCCTTGGATAAGCCTCATGGATATTTCTTGCCCAGGTAACTAGGTTTCACCCATCTGATGCCTGGTCACTCACCGCCTTATGTATGTGCATCTACACCGTATGTAGAGCTCCCTTCCCCCCCTCTGCTCCGGCGGGGCAAGAAAGGAGCAAGAACTTTAAAACCTCGAATGAATCAGACAGCGATAAGCCGGGCATGTACACTTCAGTACGGATTTTTGCGTCCTTCTTATTTGCTCCTTAAAATAGGCTCTGGACTAAAACAGAGGAGGGGTAATTTAGCAGATCTACGGGCTGCAGCGATTTCGTTCTGACTTGAACATCACTATTGCGGGGTAAGTAGACTTTTGCTAGGATAAACTGATGAACTCCACCGACATCATACTACATATATAGATTATGTTTTTGCCTATTATTATACGCTCTTCCCAGGTACATGTACAGTACATGTCCATGCCCACGGGGTCGCCGGATAAGAGACGCCGAAAAAATACGGATGGAGGAAATGCTTGCTCCAACGGATACCTCGGAGCAAAAAAAAAAAAAAAAAAAAAAAAAAAAAAAAAAAAAGTGCGATTTATCATCCGCTCCCTGGCGCGGGGGCTCTTCATCAGCGCACACAGCAGCGATGGCAGTTCTTGGTAACTACTAGTTACATAGTATGCGTAGTTATGCTTAGGTATGCTGAATGTGCTCATCGTACAGTAGCAGAGGCTAATAAGAAGCTCGGCAACCGCGGTGAGCAGCACTCTTCTCCAGGCGGAGCATTATCAGAGACGTTTTTGCCGTGGTTGTTTGATATATATATCCAGATCGATGGTCATCAATATTCGGCTTCTCGGATCGCATGTCAATCAGGCACTTTAGTTGCTGGAGATCCTGTCTGTTTATCGATGCCCTATACAGTACCGGCCATACACATACATACCAGTTCATCTATGAATCTGACTCCTTAAATTTTCCAACTACCATTTCTTCATCATTTCTGCTGGGCATGGCATACATACATACAGCCTTACCTAGTCTTACCCGGTCGCCCCGATGTTGGGTGACCATATTCCTTTCCGTTGTATGAGCTGACCAGAAAATGAAGCAGTGACTTAATTTGACGGGTATAAAACTAAAATGACGTTCGACGCGCCATAGCCATACAGAGAGAGCTTTAACAAAAACGCCGAATAAAACCCGAACAAGATCGTCACCTCCTACTATTATTAGGTCAATAATATTATTATTCATTCCGTCATCCCGCCCCCCCCTATCATAATTATTTAATAATTATTATTATAATAATAATCGGTAGTTAAATGTTCAACCCGAACGAATCGGCCAGCGGATCAAAATAGAACGGGCCCGATGCTTCGTCAGCCACCCATGAGGGTTCGTATTCGCATCGGTTATGCGTAAATTCGAGTGGTTTGCGAATACGAAGCCGAGCAATGCCTGGTCAAAACAGATATTATTTATATATATGTCCATGGATGTCTATCCATGGCGCCCGTGTGCGATTACTCGGTTTTTTATTTTATTTTATTTTATTTATTTATTTAAATTTTTGCTCAGTTTGATCAGGGGACCCTTCGTTTGTTGAAGAGTTTCAAGAACGGACAATGTTATCATGTCGACGTTGATGATGCCGTTAGTTTCAAAACACCAGATGATTAGTGACATCGTGTCATGGGAGGAAGGGGGAGCGTTTCGAAACGTGCTCATGGCTCATCTGAGGAGAGAAACCAAGACGCGCTCACGATGGAGTAGAGTCGGTTATGCTTGGGCAAAGTTGGGGAGGAAGGATGGCACGGGCGGGCGGTTGGCAATAAGATCCAAGACCTGTCGTCGCGTGCCAACATTTTAAACTATACCAGGTTAAGGCTTCAGGGTGGGTGTTTGACATTCATAGGGCATTTATTCTCGAACTTGTTCTCCATATGTAAAGTTGACTGACGAACAGTTTGGCTGAGTTGAATCATATCATTCATGCATGTATGTCCGGTTATTTGTACAAACCATATATAAGGAAAAGCAAAGGGGATATGTAAGAAAATGGTCAAAAGAAGGGAAACCCGAAAATTGCCTCCTCCACCTATGAATCGAACCCTCGGTCATGTGTTATCATCCATGTTCCCTTCCTCAGCTCAAAATCTCCCCACCACCACTAGCCGACCCTTTAGGTACAATAGGAATCAATGATGGCCAAGCCAATGATTTCCGCCGCAAGTTTCTGCAGCTTCTTGTAATAGTTCTTCTTCTTCCGGCTTCCCTTTCCGCGGCTAAGCAGTAGCTTCGCAGCGTTCTTGTAACCACCAACCTCGTCAATGGTCTCCTTGAGCTTCTTTAGTTTCCTCAACTTGCCCAGCTTAGCTATGACGGCGTAGTTCTCAACGATAAAGTAGGCAATAGCACCAGCGCACTTGGTGACACTCCATACATCACCCCACCAACGGGCGGTAATCGCTTTCGAGTGGCCCTTATGTTTCTTCAACCACTTCTCCGTCGCATCGGAGCCCTGTTCAAGCACATTATCCGGGATTTCGCTCATGAGCCTGAATGCCTCTTCGAGTTCTTGGGGGCTTAGTTGCTTGAGGTCATACTCGTCAACGTCGCCATCGTCGTCGATGTCAAAATCGTACTTGGAGTCTCTGCCGGGCTCCGGTTCGGGATCACGCTTGACAACGTTCTTGGTTGAGCCGAGATTGTTGCCATTGAATTCGGGGAAGGTACCGATTGTGGCAGCGTTTACACCTGAGAACAGATGAATCACCGTGAGGAGGAGGTAGGGGATGAGGTGAGGCAGCATTTTCGGCTGAGTAGGCTTTTGTGCCTTTAATGCAATTTAGGAGTGGAAGTACTGTGTATGTGGTACAAGGTAGGAGATCAGAAAGGTGTTTGCCTCTTGAAGCGGGAAGGGCGATCGCTTCTTGATCAGCTAGGTGACTTGTCTTCTAGCTGCTGCTTCTGATGAAAAGATAGAGCTTTCGAGGGTGAAAGAAGCATCCTTATATAGCTTTTCTCGCGATATTGGAGCAGAGAGTGTAGTTCTCTTCGCACCTTCTTCCCGTCCCCCGAATTGTGATATCCAAAGCAGATACGAGACTCTGCCTCAAACTAATCCCAACTCCAATTCCATCTCATGAAGCTATTCGTGACGACATATAGAGGTATCGTATTGACCCCATTTCTTTGCAAGGTGGACCAATCTCCACTAAAGAAGTAGAAATGAAATCTCCACAACATTCAAGAAAAAACAAAAAACAAAAAGGAAAAAAGAAAAACAAAAATGAGAGACATTACTCTTGGACGCCGAGAACTTGAACGGGGCTATACTTCCAAGATGCTCCCATTGTTCGATGTTCTTGAAGCAGGAAAGCTGCACCTGGCGATGATCGCTCTCGATCGGGGCTCGTATCTTGCTCAAAGAAGTAACGATTATCTTAAGGACAGCACCAAAAGGGGGGATGGCCAAGGTTTTATACGATGGCCAGTCTTCGCGATCGCCAAGTTCCTGCCGCTTTCGGAACAACTGAGCTTGACAAAGAAGATGCCCGCGCGCGCATCTTCCTATTAAGTGAAAGCTCGATTGGTTTGGCGGGAAGTGTTCATGCATGAAACAGCGTGCTAAGCGGCGCCTGCTGCCCGTAATGTGGGGATGGGATGGAGCATGGCACTCTCCCACGATCGCCTATCCAAGCCACCCGGACTAACCGTCAACGCGAAAAGTGGAAAATGTAGATAAAAATAAGTCAGTGTAAAATAGTATGGCTGTCATTTGTCAAGAATGATTTGATCTTCGTTGTGTGTTCAAGCTCATGGTGGAATCTGTCAATGCTCACTAAGTGACTGCAAGCACTTAGTCTCCTGGTTTTGCTTCCTCGAAGGGGCTTTGCTGCGAGATGCGTTAAATTAAAGGGGTGTCTGAATTTCTTGTCCTCTGATAATATAATCGAACATAACGAGGCAAGAGGCAGAACAGCACCAAGAACAGGAAATGCAGTGGTTGGTCCGCTCCAAGCTGCTTAACAGGTGGAGCAAACTCGAAACACCGACATAGAGTCGTTCGCCTCCACATTCTCGATAGTTCGCTGTTAACCGAATGTCTCTCATATCTGATGACATAGTCGTCCCTGCTAACCTGTCAATTCATCATCCCAGCCGAGATTCCTATTTTTACCTTCCTCTTTTAGCTCGCCCAGCGGCGATCTTCACATTTTCCGCTTGTGTCTCGCTTTCATCCGCAAGATTTTTCAGGAATTTGGTTTCCGGTTTCCCATATCCCGGTCCTTCAAAGCCAGATCATTTGCTCTTGCGAGTTGCCCTACAAGACGGCGTTGGGGCGTTTCCATGGCCAGCATCGTTGGTAGCTAAAATTTTAACAACCTCCGTTTTGAAGAATCATACAACTATGTTCCATAGCCATGTTTCTAATTTTGATCGGGGCATTTCTGATGCTTTGCGCCGTGTGGACGAAATGTTCCTAAGACCTTAGACATTTGGTGCACTGTTCAAGCTCAAGGGAAGACATCAACTCGAAATTGTGGATGTCACCCTCCTCCCAGTCGTTTGGATCTTTCGTCCTCTGTAAAAGAAGTATAAGGGGTAAGATTCTCATCGACCATGTCCAACCAACTATGACGATCTCTTCGGTAAATATTTCCAGCTCCTAGGATATTCTAAGAGCGGATGATGGCCCTTTATGATTCATGCGATAGTCCGGATGCTCCTGGGGCCAGGAGGACTTCAAAGGCGCAATCAGAGGGCAACATCTCAATGGCTGAGAATATCTTGCCCACGCTTAGGTCCACCAATCATAGATATTCTTCGCAAATTTGTACTCCATCCACTTTTCCATTCTAGCCTTAGAAGTGAAGTGGAAGGAACGGATAGGTTGCCTGTAGTGGTGACCTTCTGCCCCTCAACAATGGGGTAATGGCGCTAGATTCTCACTGCCCTATACCCATGCGAAATTAGGAAAGCTAAGATTTCCCGGTGAAGCTCATATTCATGTTTCGCTGGCAGAATAGGTTCTACAACTGCTCTGATTGCAAGGGCTACGATGTGAGCCTTCTGTCGGTCCGCTATGTTAAGTGCTGCATTCATTTAGCATGTTAAGAATGCAAAGTACATGTAGTATGTAGCCGTAAATAAAGATGTCTTCAGAATATCGCACAGAAACAGGCTCTATTTTGCGGGGTTGATCTTCCGTGGATGCCGAACGCTTGAAACCCATAGCATAGTTAGACCACGGGCGAGGGCTCGATGGTAGGCATAGAATTATTTCAGTATTCGTTGACACTCAACGAAAACGTCCACAGTCTCGGCACGCATTGCAAGTGTCTTCGCCAATAGGGAGATCAGTCGAGCAATACTTTAAATGACCTGGCTTCCTCGTTGCCTTGCAACTGCTGGCAAAGCATTGCAAATGTATCGAATCTACCAGAACAGTCTGCTCATTCTCAAGCAAGGTTCCGCAGGGACACTTGCCTGCATCGTCAACGCTCAACTCCGACGTACACGTATAACTAGGTTCCCATGGTTTCAAGAAGAAGCTCATACCGTGGATATTGTAAGGTATGTAGGTATGTATGTTCCTTCCTTGGTTTTTGGTCGCTTGGGATACCACTTGAAATATCATCGAGGTCCATTTCAGGATCAAGAGAGAACGGTGACCCCCTTTTCCTGCAAGTAGGGAACTAATCGTGGCGCAAAGTATTATTGGGATCAAACCCGTTCCTTCTTCTGACAATAATGCTCTCTCGATGGGATCCGCTTGGAGGCTTCTGTCTGGTGCGGAGCATGTACGCTGCGTAGGTAATAGGCGCGAGCGCTGTGCTAGCGCCCGTAACTAGGTGGATTTTCGACTTGACGCGATCGCTTTCAACCTCCGAAATGCTCGAATGAATCTGGCAAGAAGTGCATACGGATGCATCCCAAAAAAAGCCCAGTTAGGTCAAAGTGAAGGGAAAAGGTTGTGGGAGTTCATTCAACACTGATCCTAGAAAAACCCTGCAGAGATGAAGAAGAATAACTACCAACCACCTACCTAGGGGAGAGTACTCCTAAATAAGTCATCCACGAATACGAAGGAAAGCTTTAATCAGGAAGCTGGCAGCAAGTACTGAAAATCTTTGATCATGACATTGGACTTTGGCGGTAGTTAGTCAGGTAACTAACTGACTAACTTACTACTTCATTATCATACAGGTGCAAGCTTGCTGGTCAACTGTGATTATCCGGCTGGCTGCTTGATGCTCTAAATATCTCCCTTGCTGAATCACGACACCAAATCAGGAGATTCGCAGGAGATCCGGGCTGTTTCCACCTACAGTTGGTCAAAACAGCTAAGTTAGTGGCCTACGCTGGTATCGAAAAGGCCAAATTCCACGTCACTATAACTACGTGCCAGTTAAATACAGGGCTAACTAACTACACAGTCCAATAACTCACCCCCACACTCAACGAGTTCATAAGACAGCAAGTAGTATTTGTATATCAATATATCATTGGATTCCTTGCTTCACAGCTTCTTCTTTCCGGGTTCTTCTCTGGGAATTCTTGGGGAAAGACCCCCTGGAAGGGAGCTGGGAAGTATTGGTATCCTGTTAACTGTCCTCTTGATTCTCAACACCGACCAACCATCAACACATCTGCTTGAGATGGCTCACTGATCCATCACTTTTTCCTTGTCGAAGTCCTCACTCAAAGTTTGTCGCTTCCAAAAGTTCGGGTTGAGATTATCAACTTCTTATTCGACAATGCTGCACGGCAAAGATGACATCCAATACAACTGGATCAATGGTGCGGAGTCCCTTGAAAAATATAAGCCCGGGGGCTATCATCCTATCATGATCGGGGATATGGCGATACCGCGTGGTGGACAAACTTGGTTTTGGAGGATATTCAACGGTTTGGCTAGCTCAAGATATTCTGTTAAATCGCTATGTTGCTGTCAAAGTTGGGATTGCGAACTCGCATCCGCATGAGTCGAAAATTCTCCGGGCCCTCTTGGTACCACAACCATCGTCTTTGTCCACACACCCAGGACGCAAGTCAATACCGTTACCTCTTGATGAATTCGAGCTACGCGGCCCTAATGGGACTCACCCATGCTACACAATGACTCCTGCAAGATGCAATCTTCGAGAGAAGTCTCTTTCAGCCGCCTGTTTCCTCTTGAAGTTACGCGTGCTCTATCAGCTGGCCTCACACTAGCTATTGCATATATGCATTCACAAGGCTATGCTCATGGAGGTTTGTCTTATGCAATTGCAGTTCTTGATACAAAAATCCATTCTAAGTAATATCCGGAGTATTTTTTATTTAGACATCCACCTTCGCAATGTCTTGGTTAAACTACCGTCAAGCTTTGATCAGCTTCCCATCGAGCAGCTATATGAAACATATGGCAAACCGCAGGCAGTCCCCATTACACGGTGTGATGGGAAACCACCATCTTTGTAAAGATGCGGAAGAATTCTCATTGTCTGACACCAAGCTGCTCCTTAGTGACTTTGGTGAAGCATTTTCTCCAGCCTCAAATGTCCGCCTTGGAGAAAATTCCCACATGCCATTAGCTATGCGGCCTCCGGAAGCACGATTTGAACCGCAGTCTCCATTATCATTTTCAGCAGATATTTGGAGTCTAGCCGTAACAATTTGGGAAATTCTTGGCATGAAGGCGATTTTCAGTAGAGAATTGATAACTGCAGATGAAATTGTCTCTCAGCAGATCGATGTGCTGGGACCAATGCCCTCAAGTTGGTGGGGGCGGTGGGATGAGCGGGAGCAGTTCTTCAACCGTGATGGACATCCAAGAGAAGACCGGGATGTGTGGCCTCCAATCAACGAAGCGTTCGAGGAAGGCATACAAGGATACCGCCGAAAGCGTGGAATGGGCGTGTTTGAAGGGGATGAAACGGCCGCTATCCTCGATTTGATGCGTCGAATGTTAGTATTCCCGCCGGAACAGCGACCAACAGCTGAGGAAGTCCTCGAATCAGAGTGGATGGTTAGATGGGCGCGTTGCCTGCATTCATAGCTGCGAGATGAAACTAATCGGAAATTTATCAAGAACATGTTGTTTTCTATGAGATCGGGTGGGGTATACATACCCCTTGCACCATTTCTTTTGAATTTCCCAGGTTTCCGTTGCACCAAAAAATCCACATATAAGTTCCCCCTGCGGACAGAGCGCCGTACGCCATACCATACGTTGCTAAAACTCGAAGCGTGTTTGGCCAGGATCTTGGGAACTCGCTGAGCTAGCTATCGATCAAGTCGATTTTAAGATGCCTTTGGACCAACAAGGAAAGGCGGATCATCATGAGCTGGACAAAGGTCCAGGAGCAATCCGTCTCTCTCATGTGGCCCATGCCGTTGAACCAGCGTACATGACCATGTCATCTTATGGGGTACCATTGCTAGTTTGAGGGCGCCTAGGAGGACGCATCCCTCGACAGGAATCTTAAGTATGTGTTTGCGCTCAATAATCTTAGCGAATGAGGACAGCGTTTGAATTTAGTGTTTGATACATGTGTGATAAGACAAGAAGAACACCCTTAGGAAGACTAATAACTGAGAAAAAATTATGTACATGTACATGAACAGGAAAGGGTTTCCGAAAAGAAAGGTTATCATAAGTTGGTATCATCATCATCATCATCATTTGCCCCACTCATTTGCAGAACAAAAATTATCGTGCTCTCCTACTTCCTTCCAGTTAGTCTCACGTCCATTTACAGTTAACACCCTTCCCTGCAAAAATCATCTCAAGATTTCTCCCCTTTCTCCATCCCCATCTCCTTCTCAAACCCATTATTCCTAGCCTTAGTATCTTTAACGTCAACCGTACTATCCGTATCCATAGCCGCCTTCGCCTGCTCAAACTTCCTCCCCCTCTTCTCCGGCCCAAACATAGTCGTAATAACAATCCCTATCGCAATAATCGCCGTCGCAACACCCATCGTCGGCCCATACGCCGGCGCCGGTGTCCCCTTCGAGCCTCGAATAGTAATCGCCTCCGCAATCGCATTGACAATCTGCGCCGAGGGCGACGAGATCATGTTTCCGAGCTGATACGTGACGCCAGGGAAACTGGAGCGGAATGCCGGCGGGGATAACTCGTTGAGATGGATGGGGATCACCCCCCACGCGCCTTGTACGAAGAATTGCATAAAGAACCCGGACGCGGAGAGGTTCCGCTCGCCTTCCGGGAGGATCCAGGCGGGAATCAGCAGAGCGCTCATCAGCGCAGATATGATAATGGTTCGCCGACGGCCGATGAATTGGGACATGTAGCCGATGATGGTGCCGCCGACGCAGGCGCCTACTTTCATCATGATGCTGGCACGGCTGGCTCCGGCGTTATTTAGGCCCTTCTGGGTGAGCATGAAAGTTGTATAGCTATCCTGCGACGTGTGGCTGTAGTAGTTGAACCAGGTCATCAAGATGATGCAGTAGACCACCATGCTCCGTTCCTTGAGGAGCATGGCCTTCGTCTCGCGCCAGAAGGTTCCTGGGGACGTTTTGTGCTTCCCGGCCTTCTTCGCTTCACGGAACTGTTTAGATTCCGGGAGGAAGACGCGAATAGTCCCAGCGAGGAAAGAGAGGCCTGCTCCGATCCAGAAGACGGTCTTCCATGACTCCGTCGAGCCGCCGACGCCCAGGTTGGCGCATGCTGCGAAGACATAACCCATCGAGTACCCCTGTTGCAGGACACCGGACATGAGCCCGCGGGCGTCTACGGGACAATTCTCCAGCGCCATGGCCATAGCATTGCCATAGACGCCGCCCATGAAGAGGCCGAACAGACTGCGCACGGCTAGGAATTGATGAAAGGTAGCGCTGTAGATAGTGGCTATCTGCAAAAAGCCCAAGACAGCCATGTTGAAGACCATGGGCCATTTCCTCCCCCACTTATCACCCGCCAAGCCAAAAAAGGCCGCGCCGACGGACCGGAGCAGCAGCGTGAGCGTGATGGCGGTGGAGATGGAAGTTTTTGTCTCGCCATAGTACCTGGACAGCTTCACGGTCTGGATGGATAGGGCGTGGAAATCGAAGGCGTCGGCGCACCAGGCGAAGAGACCCACGACAAAGAACAGCCAGTCCCGCGCAGCGAGTTGGGCGCAGAGGCTGAAGGGGTTTCGGAAGCGTGGTGGATCTTGCCATTCGCAGTATGTCTCGCCTTCGGCCGTAATCACCTCGACACGCATTTTCCAGCGGAAGAGGTCGCCTAGGGCCTGCTTGGCGGTAGGAAGTATGCCCTTGGCGATGGGGTCGGCCGGCTGGTTGCCTGACATATTCTTTTTCTTTTTTCTTTTTTCTTTTTTCTTTTCTTTTTATTCCTCTTAAAAAGACTTCTCTCCGCGGGCGTATAATTTTCTTGTTTCTCCTAGTGTTGTTCGGATTTGGAGCAGCACAGGGGAATTGCCTAGCGACCAAAGATAGTAAGGATGCGACTCTGCTCCAATAAAAGGCTAAGGAAGGAAAGAGCGGGGCCAGCCGATGAGAGGAGAAGATCCTTAAAGGACACGGACAAGACGGGAAAGGATATTTTTTTTCTTTTCTTGGTCCGATAGCCTACTTTACCGGTGTCACAGGCTTATTATACATGTCTAGAGAGAGAATATTGCATATTTCTAGAACTGGGGGAGCCGAAGAGAGTGTGGGAGGGGGGGGGGGAGGTATATATCACCACCATATTTTGACGTCCAGGTGTAGTAGACGGCGCAGCGGCAGAATTAATCGATTTGGTACCAAGTTTCCGTAGGATGCTCGGCATCAAAAGGTTGAGAGACCTGCCGGAAATGCAAATTGGGTTTTGTGTACCACCGGACAGTGTGGTTGGTGAGACGGTACGGGAGTTCTGGCAAGGCAAAAAAGCACCGCAAGACATGATCGACCGTTGGTGCTAACACAACAGCAGCCCACATGCACTGCACTCAACCCCGTTAAACCACGGTGCAGAGTAGGATTGGAAGGAGTGATTTGATCTTCCTCCGAAACCTAAGTCTAGATAGAGGGGAGTGTTTCCTCCTGCTGACATTAACTGGCCTAATATATTTGCACAAGATGGGCAGTGCATCAATATGCGTGCATATCCATATATGTATCTGATAGATATTCAATTCAGTACATTTAGTATTCATATTGTTCAAGTCTAGTTAAACTAGATATCATGTTAATGTAGTTGTAACGGAGTAACCAAGTGGAAGGTGGAAACAAGCCTTTTCTCGGCGTAGCGGGAAGTGCCAAGCAATTGCCAAGCCTGGCGGCAAGATCCACCGAATCCAAGGTTCTTGCCGAGCCTGAGCCAATCAGAACGCAGAGCCCCAGCTGGCCTCCCACAGACTGACTCCATTGCTTGGGGTCGGTCTATGGATCTTGTTGCAAGTTTATTCTTGCTTCCTCCGAATCCTCCCCAGCTTTACTCCGCTTGAAGAAAGGAATTTCATAATTCATGGGATCCCCGGCCTTGAATATGCCCGAGTTGCGTCCCAGCCCCGACACCAGAGCTGGCAACAGGTGCCGGAACAGCAAGCAGAGACACGGGTTGCGGAGTTCCAACACTCTCCGTCTGCCGTTCTTTCCAAGGGAAAAGCTCCCGAGAGGGCCGCGAAGGGAAAAAAAAAAAAAAAAAAAAAAAAAAAAAAAAAAAGACGGGAAAGCCGGGAAAGCCGGGGTAGGGTATAGTATATGGGCTGGAGGGGGAATAAAAGGAGGAGAAAGTATTTTTTAACTGAAGAGACAATTGACCAGGAAATGTTCGCCCTTTTTGCCCTGGCTACTGCTGGTACGGTACTCGCGATATAAGAGTTAACTATTATTCATTATCCAAGTTTTGGCCGAAATAGTTTCCCTAGGATGGAAGGGGAGGGAGAGAATCTTTATTGGATGTACTGTACTGTAGTTCCTGTACTTGTACCATTTGCCCCGCACGACTACCGCTAACTACCCCTTCAACCCGGTTGTTCCCTCCACAGAAATGAACTAGGATATTTTCGCCCTACCTACCTACCTCCTCCTCCCCCCACCCCTTTCCACTCTACCCACATAGACCTATCTTCTACTACCCCCTCCCAGGACTACAGGCATACCCGCTTCCCGCTTCCTAGTGGCAAGCAAGCGCTGGAGGGCTTGTTTTCATTGGAGGATTGAGGAACTAAGTTATTTGTTGACTAAAACCAAAAGGATTGTGTAGACAATGTTTGGGGGGGGGGGGGGGGGTTGGTTGATTATTACTATGTTTGAACCTTTTCATTTATACAAGACTGAGAAAGTGTTTACTCGCTTTAAAAAGCCTGCGTTCTTCTTTCTTTCTTTCTTTTTTCCCCCTGTTTCTTCATCATCATGATAACCATATAATGCCCATACTTCCACATGTAGAACGGAGAGCAAAAAAAAAAAAAAAAACAGTTGGGGGCGGAGAGAGCACGTCTACTTCTCAAAGTTCAACTGGCATACATTACTCACAGACGGAATCTTTAAGCAAGACCATACCCCGATGACCCCACTCCTTTCCCTTATCCAGCATTCATTATATGTATATGTGCTGGCTCTTGAACCACCTTGACAGATATCAATCAATCCTGATAAACATGTTCATGATCATGCTGAAATCATATACATTGAAGGGCGTGTTAATGATATCCATCGGTGTGAGGGGGAGGCTGCTGGCCATGGAGCTTGGCGTGCAACGTCAAAACACAGAGGATCCTGGCTGTAATTCCCATTGCATCCCGGAATACAGGGATGAATGCCTTACCTTTTAGGTAGGTACTTAAAACAGTAGAGCATGAGATTCTGGGATGAATCCGTATAGAAGGCGCAGGCGCATCTCATTGGGGTAAACAATAGTATACGTTGCGTCCTGCACAATGCCTTTCTCTACAGGAAGCCGAAGATAGAAAACTGAGGGGGAAAACATAGAAAGAAGATCGAAAAGAAAAAGAAAAGAAAAACATCATAGAAACAACCGATAAAACATGAATGATTAGCTTACAATAGAAATGCAGCCAATGCGAGAGAAATAAAGCTGATATCATATACTGAACAAAAACTCCACTGAAGCACGGCATCAATCATCTTCATCAAAATATGTAGATGTTGGGCTTGACGGAATAAAAACAGTGGCGGTTACGAATATTTTGTAGGGAAAAGGGAGAAAAGAAGAAGAAGAAGAAGAAGAAGAAGAAGAAGAAGAAGAGGAGCACGAAGTGAAGATGGCAGGAAAGTCGTTATAGTGGCGTGTGGGGATGGGGGTAGTGTAATTCTTGAACGCTACATCTCCGAACAACATTGTCGTATTCGTGTGTCATATCACATGGTAGAAATTGAATTGTATCAACATCTAGCATTGAGCTCTTGTGGCACCTATCTATAGTTCCACCCGTCAGTAATGTATCTATAATAGTCATGCCATCAAGTAGTGAAAAAATATTGACAGCACATTCATGCAAAAGAGGCAACGGCCGATGATGATGATGATGATTTATTTTCTCCATAGTGACCAATGATAAAGCAATACGAGGCATAAGATGAAAGAAAAGGGGAAAACTTTACAAATGCTCTTATCCACCTTTAATTTATATTATCATTATTTTCCTTGTGGTATATTTATTTTTCTAACCTGTTTGACCTGCTGCTGTCGCTGTTCCACCAGCGTTTCCTGTAGTTGAATGAACTGTGATTCCAGATGTTGACCAGCACACTGGTAAAAAAAAAAAAAAAAAAAAAAAAAAAAGTTAGCGAAGAAATATCATACGCAAAGTTAAGGGAGATGAGAAGCTGGGGTGGAGCGCAAAGGTGTACATCCACAAAGTTTATCTTTGCGGGGATGTAGCTATTCGGCGCCGGTCCTATCTCACAAACCGGCAGAACAGAACAACACAAAAGTAAACAAAATAAAGGTATAGAGATTATATCAGAAATAGCAGACATACCCTTGGCTAATATCCTTATACTGCTCGTCATTCAACTCTTTAACACCAACCTTCATCCCACCCCGCGACATCGTGACGTGTTTCTTCTCCATCTCCTTCTTCGTCTGGGCCTTAACGGCCATCATGACGCTCCATGTCACGAAGCCAATAACGGCGAGGATGCCAACGACGATGAGCAAGATTAGGAGCGGGATTAATCGATTTGATGCCATCGGGGTTATCCGGTTATATGTCCGCTCCCTTTTTCTTTATTTTTATTTTTATTTTTATTTTTTTTATAAAAAAAAACCCCCTTTATTCGTTTGGGTTGGGTTTGATGGTTTGAATGATTTGCGAGTGCGTGGCTGAGCTGTGGTGGCAAACAGTCAAGGGAAATAAAGAAAATGATTTAACTGGCACGTGCCGGTGACCGCGTGCTGTGTAGAGCCGACGGCCGATTAAGTGTGGAGAAATGCGAGCAGAGAATACAATGGGGGATTGCTTGATCGAAGGGTATCTGACTGAGCGGAGACGGGGCCCAGGACACAGGGGTGGGAAAAATGAAAAGAGACTTGTTTGGATCAGAGTGGATTGATTGTTCTTTTGGTTCAGAGATGAGGTCAGAAGAATGCGGCGAGGTGTAACTTAGCTTCGGTGGGAAAAGAAAAGGATGTTTGGAAGCTTAATAGGCAATAAGCGAGGTTTTGGTTGGTGAATGGCGGCTAGCTGTGGAGGCGAAGGAAGGACTCAGAAAAGGATAGTTAGTTACAGTGGAAGCGGCGCTTGGAGTTGATATATGAATGAATGCGCAGTCTTCCTGTGGGAAAGAAGAAGAACATTTGGGAAAGAAAGGGAGACAGAATTGCTCATGAATCCTTCGCCAGCGCCTGGGGCTGGGTTGAAGCGTAGCATTCACGAACATGATGACGCCGGGTGAGGGGGTGAGCCAGTCATGTTCAAGGAATCGTTTCAGCCTCGTACCTTTTCTTTGCGCCAGTGGTTTAGCGGATGCAAAAAAGGTGGGCATAGGGCTGGAGGATTGTGAGCGGAACATGGCGAGATTGTATGGGGATCCTGGTCGAGATAATTGCTAACTTTCTATGATTCTCCTCTAGCAGACACCATGACTCGATTTGCTGTTAAAGGAAACCTGGAAATGGGACAGACACACACATACAAAACACCTCTATCCTTGTGCTTACATTACAGGGTCTGAAGAATCCTTGATGGTCAGCCATGTTGCCGGGCGTGGCTGGTAACAACAGCCTTATTTGTGGGGGGGGGGATGTCAATGTCTGCACTGTCTGCAGTCGGCGAATCTGCTGCATCATCTCAGTGGCTTGTCGCCCCCAAAACATGTTAAACTCGTTTGCTGTTGAGCCACAACGTGGTCAGAACTTACAAGACACAAGGGGGTAAGCGGGTGAGGGTCCTTGCTGAAGAAGCAATTAAACACCAAGAGTGATATATGAGTTGCGAGGGGTCTTGGGTTGTTCATTTGGAACCCACAATATCCTTGTTGACCAAAACTTGATACAAGCAGACAGACAAGACAGGCTGGCTGGGCTTTGCAGTAAGTACAATACATTGATGCATCTGAGGACGGATAGCGCTAAAAGTGCTCGCTTGGCGCCCAGGGTTTAGGCATCGTTAGGGCAGACAGGTGCCTAGAGCCCTTGGGCACGCGGCCAACGGCGAGGGACTTAAAAGGATCGCCATCATGTTGCTGTTCTCTTTCTTCGTTGTCATCAAATGACTCCCTCTTGCGGTATTCTGGCTGTGGGCTCCGGAGGGTATCTTGTCACCACTTTAAATACTTGAGCGAGTACCTGGGTTGGTGGTTTTAACAATCAATTCTACACATTTACTCGATCTAGGAAGATACCAACAATGGCGCCCACGAACTCCGAGCCAGTTTACTTCTGGAAACCAGAATCAGAGAACGGCTATCTGGGTCAATGGTATCCGTCAGAGTTTACTTGGGACAGGAATCTTGATGACGAGGATGACGGCGTCGAAACCCTCAAATATGACAATGCTGAACAGTGAGAAAAGTGTCCCTTCAGAAGGAAACGCCATACATACATTCTCTTGTTGAAATGACCGAAAAGAAAAAAAAAAAAAAAAAAGAAAGAAAAGAAAAGAAAAAGAAAAAGAAAAAGAAAAAGAAAAAGAAAAAGAAAAAGAAAAAGAAAAAGAAAAAGAAAAAGAAATTTTTTGACCATGGTCTTTTATACGTATAGATACATGATGCACCAAAAGGGCCTCCTTTTCGCGCCAGACGACCCCGTCACGCACCAGATTCTCTCACAGGACTCCACACCACCCCATCCCGCAGAGCTCAGGAGCCTAGGCCGGCAAATTCCCGACTTCGACGACGCAGTGTGGAAGAAACATCGCTATAAGATCGTCGTCGAGGGCAATTACCTCAAATTTACTCAGGACCCTCAGCTCAAAGCAAAGCTTTTGGCTACGAGGGACAGGGAACTGGTGGAGGCCAGTCCGCGGGATCGGATATGGGGTGTGGGGTTCGGGGCGAAGAATGCTGGCGCGAGGAGGAAGAACTGGGGTTTGAATTTACTTGGAAAGGCGTTGATGGAGGTAAGGGAACGGATTCGAAAGGAATTATTGGAAGAAGAGGAGCTGGCGATTGGTGGTAGTGGCGGTGGTGGCGGTGGAGAGAAGGCTGTGTAGTAAATACCTGCTCATGGCTAGGGTTGTTAGGCTTTCGCCGCCGTCATATTTGAAGTGATAGTTATCTCCCAAGAACCGACAATACCCCGAAAGGAGATACTTTTACCTTTGACGAATCCTATGATCTTGCTTTGGGTATATTTATGCTATTGTGGACTATAGTTATATATATTTCTACTCTGCTGTACGGACCACGGAGTGCAGTCGACTAGTTATTTTAAATAAGCTGGAAAATCAACTTTGAATTCAATTCTCGCCCAACCTGACAGTCAACCTCACTCACCCTCATACCATACCTCATATCAATTCCCGTCATCGAAAAACTCCCTCCCTCCCATGTTCAACCCAGAAAACATCGGAGTTTCGCATCGGAGTTTCTTTCCTTCCCGGATGTTAGTTACGGAGCACATACTAACTAACGAATGGCTCCGGGTCATAATGTTCCAACACTGTCAAGCTTTCATCAACGTCATACTGACCCATCGTTCCCAGAAATAACTTACCTTATAAAGTGTGCCAAAACTAAGTTAACAAAAGATATAATTACATATGATACCTAGCGAGGTCCCCTCAAACCCAAGCAAAGGCTTCTTAAGGAGAAAAGAAATCTCACTCGTGCTATAAACCAATTTTTTTTTTTTTCTTTTTTCTTTTTGAACCACGTCCATTTAGTGCGAAGCAAAACACCTGTCCGTCCTTGCCTCCCCACCATGTTTTTTTGGATACCATTTCCGCTTTGCTTCCAATTCGGAACAGACCAGAATCCGTGTCGTTGCAAAGTAGTTGGTCCGACTTTAGGTATGTCCCCGACGCGCAAGTGCTATCATTTTTCTTGAAATATTTGTTTGTTGAGTGGGAGGGAGATATTTTGTGCCCTCTATATCCTTGATATTCGCTATCAATTATTTCTCTAATGCCCTCATATCATTATAGGGTTCCTCACGACTATCTTAAGTGCTGTGCGTGCAAATATCTAGGCGAAGCACCCTCTTTTTTTTTTTTGTTGCTACTCGAAGGAGCAAAATGTGGTGGAGTGGTTTGTTATTTTTACAATGCATACAAATGACATATCTAACCTGGTTTTTAATCCTCATTTATTTTATATGCAACAACAGATCGTGCTGTGGCCTGCATCACTCTTTTGCGGGTGCTGGGCTACCAAGACCGGGACCCAGTGCGTACTCCCTCTTCCCCCTTTTCCCTCCCTCCCTATTTTGCTCTCCATCTGCTCATTAATTTGGTGTCGTATGTATTAACCTATCTCGGTTGCAATGTTCACAGGCTTCTCGGGGCTCCAGTGGAGTGGAACGGAAAAGTCAACCAGGCCATCCCATTCTGATCAGGGGCGTTCGAACGGATGTATATTCATGTGGAACCAGTTAGGTATCAGAATTATGCTGCATGTTAGATGGTTGATATTTGCGCATGAAAAAACTTTCAATGCATAGATAGTGTGCATTGATTTTATAAGGACAAATTCAACCTTTCTTTTCTTTTGGGGATATTGTGAATTTCTCTTTGAAGATATTTTGTTGTCTTTCCACAAGGGTTTCAGATGATAACTAAATATATTCTGAATACATTCTTTTCCTATGGGATTTCTCTTATCACTTAACTGCAGCAATTTCAGGTTCAGTAAGTCTTGAACATATCAATCATATCAACATTTTGACACAGCACATTCTAGATTGACTGCCAACATGTTCTATGAAGTACCTCTTCAATCTGAGCTGGATTGGAATTGAATTTATTCTGATTCAAGTTGAGGTACTTTTTTACTGTTCACTACACAGCACACAGGAACAACACACAAAATGAGCCAGTGCTCAGTGCTGATGTTAAGCCTGCTACTTGACATGACATTGCCAATGAATTCTTGTGAATGCAATGGTGAAAGGAAGGAAGGAAGGAAGAAGGGAAAGTCCTGTGTGGAATCCCACAATCTCTCTCTTTCTCTTTCTCTTTCTCTTTCTCATTCTCCTTTTCTCCCTCCTATCCCACTCCTTCCTCTTCATCTAGCTACCATATGCTTATTGACATTTCGAATTTGCCCTGCTTGTGTCCTTTTACTTTCTATATTTTCTATCTCTGCAATCAAACTGCAAATACTTACCTTTTCATGTCCCATTGTGGCATCCAATATACCTGCTGCCTGCCTCGATCATGGATGATAATACCCTACAAGAGCTCTGCCGAGATGAATTACTGAGCCCTGATGACTTCGACGACGAAGAAATGGAACTTCGAAATGAACTGGACGAAGGACTGAGGGCTGCAGTCTCTACATATAGCGACGCACCTTATGGAAGCATAGATTGCGTGATTTTTCGCCTGCGGGAGCTACACCTCAAAATTACGCTGAGCCAGTTGGATTGGCGCGTATGTACGAAGAAATACAGCGATATCGATAGGGATGATCCCACATGGACCAAGCTGGAAAACCACTACACCGCCGAGCAGAATCTATTCATCTCAGAGCGGATGCGACTTGGTAGAGAACTGTGGCACCTCTTTCAAAAGGCTGAGCATAAAGCTGCTTCCGAAGCAGCGTACAGGACAAAGACGCAGAAAAATAAAGCGAAGGATCTATTCGTGTTATTGATGAGAGAAATAACTGTGGAGGAGAAAAGGATGTTTTTGGAGGCTATGGAAAACGTGTACAGTCTTGAGGGCACACCCAGTGAAATCTGGAGCCCTGTCACGGGCAGGACTCGAAAGGCGGACTTGAGCGCAGTACATATCTTTCCCCCACAGGTCGGACAAGACAACCTGGGGATGGTCTTCGGGGACGGATTCGATGTCAGTATCCACGGAGCGGAAAATGGGCTTTTCTTACCACCCGCCGTCAAACATGCGTTTCAGGACTACCAGGTTACAATAATCCCAGACCCAGTCGCAGCTCGTCCTCACAACTACAAGTTTGTAGTCCTCGACCCGAAAATTTTACGCCTGAAGGTGAATGGGGAAATGACATTCAATGATTTGAATGGGCGGACACTCGTTTTCAAACCGGGGTGCGACCTCAGACCGAGCCCACAATTTATCCGCTTCCATTGTGCGGTGGCTGTACGGATGGCGATGCAGAAATGCGGGCTGTCCAACGAAATGCCAAATGGGGTGTTTTCAGAACTTGAAGGGGCATGGAAGGATCCAACTACGTTGATAGAGGAGGATTTGCTTGTTGGGTTCATCGAGGCGTTCGAAACGTATCGAGAGGTTCGTGAGAAGAACTTGGCAGCAAGACAGGTTGTTGCAAATAACATTGTCGTGCCAAAAAAGCGAAGTATTGGCGAATAGAGAGAGCCTTGGATTATGGACAACTTGAGGGTCCCGAGGGGGGGGGAAGCGGGTTGGTTCTTATCACTTGGAAGTTTAATTGTTTCTTAGTCCGTTGTATTATTTTGTCTTTCTCTTTCCCTGCCATTCCCTTTGGTTAGAAATACCTCGATAAGTGGAATGCATTCAATATTCCTTTGTTAAAATCGCGTTGGACCTCAAGTTAAACATAGACAAGGTTGATGATAACCGACGGAAGATTACACCATAACACAGTTTATTACGCACTAAGAATTCATGAAGACAGAACAGACATTTAAATATTAGCCAAAATGCCCTGCTAAATAATAGTAATAAGAAATTTTGAATACGAATGAAATAACTATAGATATGGAAGAACCAAAAGCAGCGTGGCCAACATTTTAATGCGCAAGCTCACCAATAATAGTAAATTCGTAGCGTATCAATATCCGTGCGCCCCCTCTGTCGGTCCCTAAACAAGTAACCTACATGGGCTACCCAGTTTCAACCGACGGAGCCCAGGGTTCGCATACCCCGCCGCCTTCTGTCGCTCATAGCTAACCATGCGCAGCCGTTGACTCTCCCTCGGCGTCAGCTGCAGGTAAATCTCGACGCCAAAAATATGCAAAAACAGCGCCAGCCACAGTGCCAGTCCGAACGACAGGTTGAGATTTGCACCAATCTGTGCGGGTTCCATGCCGTTATCATCCGCCTTGACGATCGCGACGGGGTCGTAGCCCGGCAGCAGTTTTGCAGGGTCAGGCAGCGGCGCACACATGGGATACGCGGCGAGATAGGAGACGGGGATCTTGTAGAACTGCCAGGTGAAGTCGATCTTCTCGCACGGCCAGACCTCGTAGTACGTGCCGAGCTTGCTGACGATTCTGGAGATGATTTCCAGCAGCGGGTGGATGGTCATGATGCTGCCCCATGTAGAACATGGCGCGCCGGCGTTGGAGATGAGGAGTAGGACGACGATGATGTAGCCGTTTATGCGGTGGAAGAGGATTACGCGGTGGCGGATTGAGGGGATGAATTGGTAGATCACGAGAATTCCGCAGGGGAGGATCGTGCCCAGGTGGAGGATGAGGCCGACTTTTCTGAAGCCGGTGTGTTGGTTGAACCACTCGCCGGGGCTGCTACCGCTGGCATATCGTCCGGTGATGTCGAGGTATTATAGGCGTGCAAGGGTGAAGCCGAATAGGCCTCCGGCAAATATGAAGAAGAGGATGAAGTTGTAGGACTTTGTAAAGCCCAGGAGCCCAAGGATGGATTTCCAAACAGCCATTGTGAAGCCAAAAAAGGGGCAATTAGGAGGAAAAAAGAACTTTGTTTGGATAATTATCAAATGGCATATTTGAATACCTAGGCTCATATGAGGTTATACTTCGCCTCAAGGACTCCATGATAGCAGCAATCAGAAATATATACACAGCTATATACGCAAGCAGCAAAAGCCCCCTGCGAAAGAATGTGATATCGCATCCCTTCCGACACGCATATTGAACCGACTCCCGTTACCAAACCCCCTGTGTGGCTCAAGCATTTCCAAAGGCCAAGTCAGCGGGATAAGAGTTCGTAGAATGCCTGGCGGAAGGTAGCTGCCTCATCAGCCAATTAGTTTAACCGCAAATAATCGTCAGTGGAATGACTATACGAAAGATGCCTTAAACGGGACGTAGGCAGTAGTATGCCTTCGAGTGAAAAAGCCTCTGCTCCAAAAATGGCAAAAAGAGTGCAAGACCGGGGAAATGAGAAAACGAAAGCAATGAATGATCACTCAATCGTAATCACAAGAATCTGTGCAGGAGGGAGGATTTCCGCATTCCTGCCAATGAGCTTGGAGAGGAAGTGAGCCCATCTGAATACGAGAAATGAAGCGGTGCATCTCAAGCGGATTGGAGGTTAGTGGGAGGGAATCGTGATGGCTTCTCATTGCACATCTCTGGTTCTAGGAGAGATAACTTTTTGATTTTATTCATACGAATGCTAGAGTACGAAGAATCGGCTGAATCTAACGTCCGCCTTGGACGCGACGGCATCGCGAAGATGAAGAATTGGCGGGAACGTTGTCATGTTGCGGGACCCACAAACCTTAAATTTAAAAATAGTCACTAGCAAAGAGCTTAAGATAGTTAACTCTAATATCATAACTAACTAACCGGGTAACTATCCCTCGCTCGCCAAATGGTACGTATTTCCAGTGGGGCTACGGGTTGATTCTCGACTTGCCAGATCATAGTCAACCCGACCCAGATTCCGTATTTGGATATATATTCGTGCTCGGCTCGAATATTTGTCCGGAGACCTGCACCGAAATTGCAGGGCGGCCCATTCTCCATCCTGGAGGCAAAACTTGAGGAGTCGTAGAGGCATTGAAAAGGGTTTTTGGGTGGGTTGTTGCTTTTTGCGAAGAAGATGGTTCCTTTCATGCGTATAGACAACTACAAACTGGATCAATTATTTATGCACATGCGAAGACTTGAAAGAAAAGAAGACAATGTAAATCAATGTAAATCAAAGGGGAGAAACCGGCAATGGAGCTAGAATTAAAATGATAAAAGAAAAATGGACAGTTTAGAAAAAAAAAAAAAAAAAAAAAAAAAAAAAAAAAAAACAAGCAGACCAAAAAACGGGTATATAATTAAGCAAACATCCAAAAGCCTCTAGACGCCCCCTTTTCCCCCTTTCTTTAAAACAAGGCGCAACCTCTCCTTTTGAAAAAGGTCCCAATACTTCAACTACCAGTTACCCGAATCTTGCAAGGCACACACGCCAGAGCGTCGCAACTAGGGCAGCCCAGAAGGTATATTGGGCAATATCTATCGCAATAATCGCACGAGCCAGCACCATAGACGTATGGCCACCACCGATCATGGTGGCAGTGGCTGCCATTGCCATTCCACTCCTCGCGAGGCAGGTTTGGCGGCTGTCGTGCTGTGCCCGACCACCCTCGCCCCCCGCTCCATCCGTCATCAAGGTCATCAAGCGCGTCCTCCATAGCAGAGAAATCGAATGCGTTCCTGCTCTTCGGGAATTGCTCTTTTCTCTTTCGTTCCTCTTCCTTTCTCCTCTCCTCTTCCCGTCTTCTCTTCTCCTCTTCTTGCCGCTTCTCTCGGGCTCGTTTCTCTTCTCCTTCTCGCTTAAGGGCCGCCTCAGCTCGGCGTAGCTTTTCTAGGATTTCGTGGACGTCTGCTTCCGTAAATAATTTATCTCCTGTTCCCTGCCTGCCTGCACCTGTCGTTGTCTTCCTCTGCCGCCCACAGGCCTCCTCATACTTGTCCCATTCTTGTTTAATCCTCTCGTATTTGCAATCGAAACAGTATCGTTTCGACGCATCGCTCAGGGTTTCCCACGCACTTTGGACCTGCGAAAATAACGGTGGGAGGTTTCGTTCGAATTAGGGTATTTTCTAATCGTCTTTCAGATCGCCCCCTAAGGCGTTCCCCGGATAAAAGTAACCTCCAATACTAACCTTGACAAAGAGACTTGATTCTATCCCCGGGTTCTTGTCTGGGTGAGTTTCCAACAGGCGCTTGCGATATGCCTTTTTAATATCTGATAACGACGCGCCTTTCGACACTTTCAGAATGCGGTAGCAATCGATTTCCGTTGGTTCAGTCATCTTTGGATCTGTGGCTGTAGACTAGGAAGGAAGCGGGATGAGATGAAGGCGGCTGGAAGAATTTCCGTAAAAAAGCACACAAATCCCGCTTGAAATACGGAATATATTCAACCAAAGTTGAAATTGTTCTTCCAAACACTTTCGTATAGATGAGGCTTTCAACCCATCAAATGGTGAAAGGGCGGCAGACAGTCTCATAAGAAAGGAAGAAATGGTGAATTCCCCCCACCCTCAGCACAGTTACATTAGCTCTGCGAAATCTGCAGTGGGCGAGTGAGCCTTGCTGAGCCTTGAGAGGCACAGTTAAGAGTCAGGCCAATTGAGGCACCCCAGTAAGAAAACTGTCCCTCATTTAGCCGCCATTTGTTAGCCTGCTATACTGTCAATCCACTCTCCCCTCATCCATTAAATCCGTGACGACGGATACTATACGGATTAGTATGTCGGCGATTTGGGGGCCATGCGTGTTCAGAAAACAGTCTTGTCGGAGAGAGGAGGGCGGAGTCAATGAAGAGTATCATGTCGTGTCATCTTGTGTCGTTGCAGGAATGGGGCGTTTTAAGCAGTGGCTGCTGGTGTTTTGAGTGCATTATTGCATTGGTGGTTAGGATTGATTTGGAAATACTAGACGAGGCTTTACTTGCTATACCCTTGGCAAGTGCTTGCAACAGGGTCAGTGATGACGAATCTGTTCGCATCTGACCAGTGTTGTTGAAAAGAGGTTCTTTTTATTTATTTATTTTGGATTGGCGAGATATGTAGCTCTACTCTTCATGGCCTAAGATTAGCGAAGATCACATCCCAGCAGAATCTTTAAAATGCTGCCTGCATAGCTTCAAAGGTAGGTAGGAGGAATCATGGCTTAGCCCTCCCAACTTACATAATTATGTATTTCCTGCATTGGTTGTTAAAATGGTTCGAATTCTTCTCGTCAGGAGCGGTGCCAACCCTTTGACGGGTGCATCCGTTCTTCTGCATCCCTCCCCGCACCAGAGTCTACACTCTGCAAATTCCCCATGAAGATGATGCAGCTTTGCGCCATGCGATGCGTTGATGCATGCCGAGGTATGTGACTACTCCTTCCTTGCGTTGTGCGGGATAAACATACGTTCTCCCGATAAATAATAATAATAATAATATAACTCTCAAGTTATGTCAGAGAACACCATGTATCAGAAAAACGCCTATTTCCCTCCCTTTGTAATTAAAAATAAACATATAAACCCACCCAGCCTTCCCGTTCTCAAGTTAATTAAATCTTATACTTCTCTTTAAGAAAGCTCCTCCTTCGAAAGCACCACCAACTACACATGTCGAACACAAACACGCCCTCATCTCGCCGTCAATCCCATTCTCCCTTCTACCCGCTACCCACAACAAGTAAGCGCCTCACATCCACTTCTACAAACAATCTTACACGTCGAACTCCGCGCCTCCCTCCTCAAGCGAAGCCCCCCCGTACCGGTATCCGTGCCCGCATCCCCCTCTGAAGAAAGTACATGTACATCACCAGCAACAGACGACGAGCCAGAATGCGCCAGCTCCGGCTGCAGCGTGACAGAGTGGATGCCATAGGCGTGCAGGCACTCGCCGATGCGCTGGGCGCGTGCCATGAAGCCGGCGAGAGAGGAGTCGGAGGTGACGACGTGCGCGGAGGCGATGGCTTTGTTTTGGTTCAGGCGCCAGGCGTGCAGTTCGTGGACTGAGAGGACGCCGGGGATCTAAAGGGGAGTGGGGAGGGTTTTGAGTTAGATTTGTTGACTCTCTTTTTTTAAGGAGGGTGGGATGCTTTATACGTACCGTTTCGAGATCATGTTGCACATCGTCTAGATTAACGCCGAGTGGGACAGTGTCAAGGAGTATGGAGCCGCTGTTTTTCACTATTGGTGTTTGACGCAAAGAGGGAAGAGGAGGAAGTGGATTAGCTGGGACGCCATGACAGCGTGGATTGCAAAATGGATCGGAAAAACGCAGGTGGTAAACATAATGAGAAGAGGAGAAGGGGTCGCAAAATATTCTTTGAATTCTTACCGAGTGGAATAGCTGTAACCAAAATCAGAATTCCGATCCCAAGACTGACTCCCGGATCTGCATAGTATCTCCCTTCATGCGTTGCCTTCCAAATAACCAGGGCAGCAATGATGACGCCAATGTTATTGATGGCATCGCCAATGACGTGGAGCAGCACGCCCATGACTCCCAGGTCATGCGACCGCTTGGCGGGCAGAGAATTGGTGGCATGTCGGTGGTTTTCATGAGCGTCTTCTTGCTCTTGCTGGTGGCGAGAGTTAGGAAAATTTCCCGAAACGAAGGTATTATTTTGAACTAGAAGGAAGCGAGTGGCAAGGAAGAGAGATATATGCACGTACATTCTCAAGTTCTATCCTGACGGTGTTTTGGTCATGCTCTGCATCTACCTCGGGGGTAGCGTGGCTGTGACTGTGACCATGACCGTGTCCATGGTGGTCATGCCCATGTTCTATTGTGTTGATGTCAGCAAATCTTTTCATGCTTCTGAGAGCGGGGGAGAGGCGCGGGGGTCCGGCCGGGGGGATCCTCCGCAAGTTATAGTTACCGTGGATAAAAAACACGCTGATGATGTTCAGCGTAAGACCCACGCATCCAATGATAAGGATAAGCTCCGGATTCTCGACCTCTAAATATATGTGGTTCCTCAAGGGATTCCAGTCAGCCGCCGAAACTAAATTGGGTTCTGTATACGGCCGGGCATAACAAAACCAGAACAAAAATCAAATAAATAAAAATAAATAAAAATAAATAAAAATAAATAAAAAAAATAAAAATAAATAAAAATAAAAATAAAAATAAAAAAAGAAAAAGAAAGAAAAAAGAAAAAAAGAAAAAAGAAAAAAGAAAAAAAAAATAAATAAAACAACAGATAATACATACTCTCCAATGAGACGAAGCGTTCAATAGACTGCAGAATAATGCTCACGCCCAGCGCCATCAGGAAGACGCCATTGAAGAATGCGCCTAGTAGCGACGAACGCTGCCAGCCAAACGAGAGATAGCTTGGGGGTTCGCCTGGTTTTTCGGAGACCTGAACGGCAGAAGGGGAGCAGGAGGTTAGCTAGATATAGCCTATTGTACTTCTTGTTTATATTGTTTTGGCAGTGTTTGGAATATATATATTTATACATATATATAAATTCATCGGCTTGAGGCGCGTCTGTATGGGGTAAGGAAGACATACCTTCAACGCTATGAGAGCAACGACGAAGCCGATGAGATCGTTTAGCTACATGGACCAGCGTCAGTAAATACACAAAGCCCTTTTATCCTCCACACGGATGAATGAATATATATATCTAGAAGACGTCGGCTCCTTACATAGTGAAACGCATCAGCAACCAGGGCTAGCGAACGCGTGTAGAAACCAACTAAAATTCCCCCACAAATGTCAGTATATTCAGTATTTTGTTAAATCAGTCAGTTCCTGAGAAGACCCCTGGAAGCGAGTATCTATCTGGGGCTTTGCAGAACTGCTGTCTTGCTGGTTTGCTGGTTTGGACTTGCCTGAGATCTCGACGAGGAAGAACGAGAGGGAGATGGCGATGATGATGCTCAGACGGGTTGAGCGAGATAGATTAAAGATGGCCATTGTTTCATATCAGATCATTTGGGTGTCGTCTGGTGGTAAAAAGCAGTACTCTCTCGAGCGCATGAACGGGGAGTATGTATATATGACTCAGTAGAGAGACGCGTGGGGGAAGGGATGAAGAGGAGTGGAGAGAGCAAGGTGTTTTTTGCAATAGGAAGTTATTTTGTCGCTGCTCGTTTGCTGTCGAATTCACGAAATATTGCTTATTCACTTTCTAAGTTATCAGTTAGAAAGAAAGGTTTGAAGCTGAAACTGAAGTTGATGTCAGGCACGAAGCCGTTGAGCAGGTTCTGCTGTGTGTGTTTTACCTCTCTCTCTCTCTCTCTCTTTTTTTCAACTCTGTAGCTCTATCTTCTAGCTAGTTTTCCGCACTTCTTCTGTAGGCAAAAAAAAAAATAATAAACTTTGTAAAGCCCGAAGACAGGTGTTAAACTAGTCACCGCTATCTAGCTCCACACAGCAATCAAAGCATATTCGATTTGCAAATTGCAGCCAACCAAGCGACCCAGATGTCCCTTTAAGAGCCCACTTGGGAATCTAGCCTCCAGGCGTCTATAAAACCAGGCAAAGTGCCGCTTGTGTTGCCAGAGAACTAGCCTCAATAATAGGACCTGGGGAAGAAAAAGAAAAGAAAAAAAAAAGATTCGCTCTCCAGTCGGGATCGCCGAGAGAGTACGTAGGTTAGTTAACTAGGGTGACAGAGTTCCCGAACCTATTTTCTTTTCTTTTCTTTTCTTTTATTTATTTTCCTTTTTATTTATTTCTTTATTTTTTGTTAAAATAAAGGACTGGACTTGGCAGATAAGCTTTTTTGCTAACTTGATGGGGGAAAGGGAACCTTAGCTTTGCTTGTCCGAGTGCCCTAATAAATCGAGGAGTTACGTCAATGCAATGAGTTTAATAATATTAACTATCAAACTATGAAACTCTCTTGCGCGAAATTGCCTCGTCGTAGTGGAGAAGGGCGCCTGCGGATGGAGGGTTAAACTAACCATTTATTTATTTTTAGTTAGCATATGCAAGAGCTGCCGAGGGATCTGATACGACACTGTAGGGGAAGCTGTCAGAGGAGAGGAGGAAGAAGGAGAGGAAGAAGAAGAAGATGGAATATGGTGTGATGCCAGATGTTTCGCCTGGATGTCTTCGGGGTGATGCCGGGGCAAGAGTTAAACGGCTTTGTGTGACGTGGCGGCGCGAAGTGGTATTCATATAGTTACGATGTAAGAATAAATATTAACTATGATATGTTAAAATGCACTAATTAATTTAGTTTATAAAAATACTTTTAATATAGCTACTTAGGAGCTATAATGATTATCTTCTTTTTCAGAATTATTATTCTAATAATTTTTAAATTATTTCTTTAGAAGCCCCGGGGGGTTTGTTATCTGAATTCTTATACATAACTCCATGAGTGCCGTGAAATGGTTTGCGGGATCGCCTTGGCTCGGATGCTCCACCTCACTGGAAATGGTGTAAGGGAAGAACAGACTTAAAACAGCTGCTGGACACAAAACTCACTTCAGAGCTACTCTGACGGCCTCGGACTTCAGACTGTCTTTGTACATACCTTTCAGTATTCTTCATGACTTGGCTGGCTTTGTAAATCTGTTCAAGGTCAAGACTGACAATGCGGCTTCAAGCACCAAGAAATTTCATCCTTGCGCACCCACCTCACTCCTCCCCCCTCCCCTGCGATTGCTGCTAGCTGTTATATTCCTCCACTGAGAAAATTGACATGAGACGGGTTGCTTATACGTCTGCGGTCGGAGCCCGTATAATCAACCGATGCAGCTGTCAAGCATGGGGAGGAGACACATGAACAGTCCCTTTCACTTCAGAAGTCGGTGCTGTACACCTGGAGGACTTGGATATTCAGCCAGCTTAGTATCAAGCGGCGACATTCAACGTCGTCTTCTTCCATGCGGGAAGACCCCATTTATACATCCATTCCGATGCAAGAGCCTCCTTCGCGGTAATGCACAGCACTGGCTCGTAGGTCAACATGCTGCTCAGCAGCTTCTCAAGCGCGGCCATCTCGTCCGCACCCAACTCGCCCTGTCGTCCCATAAGTCCCAACCTCTCAGTCAGAGGTCGCGATCATGGAGCGTGGGCACGGTGTGTATCTTTCTTCCACCACCCGTCGGGAAGGAAGAAATCTCCCTTCTGCTGCCCGCGATCCCACCATTTCTTGGGTAGAGGGCCTAGTGTGCTTATCATCTCTGCAATCGCATGATCTTCATCCGGCATGAAGCCCTCCAATTAATTCGCGTTCGCCAAGGAGGTTGTACAGGGTGCTACCCAGAGTCCAGAGGTCAATTGCTGTTCCCAGTGACTCATCGAACAGAAACTCCGGTGGGAGGAGTAAGACTGGAGTATGTAGTCGCGTTGGTGACTCTGTTGGTAAAAAGGCCTCTCCAAAATCGGCAATGATCGCGCCGCAGTCTTCTTTGACATCTTGACACGAAACATAGGTTCGCGCAGGCGGGATGCAGTACCGGTGCGTTTCGGGGCCTGTCGACTTCCCATCTAGTCGCTGAACAGGGAGGGAGCTTCATAGGCTCTCCCAGTTCACGATAAACATCGCTGGTGCCGCGGAGGTGCCTTGGAAGGCGAAAGAGAATGTTGCCTGAATGTAAATCTGATAAAAATTGACTTCGTAAAGCCTTTCTCAAGATAAATATGTCTACCGTCAGGTTTGCTTACCACCATGTACAACACCACAAGAATGGATGTAATCCAGTCCTAGAAGAACTTGGACACCGATTGCCCTTGCAGCGTTGACGGGAAACTTCCATGGCATGGTTTCATTTTTGGAATTCGCAATACTGCAGCCTAAAGCTTCTGTTACAATGCACTGATGGCGGCCATTTGGCCTGGTGATAGTGAACTCATCAAGTAAGGTCAAGACAGACCGTCGACCTGGATGGTTCTGCTTTCCTAATGTAAGTCTGGTCAATATTTTGGCTTCTCGACTCTCCTCGAAGACAGTTGCAACGACTATCTTGAGAGCGACAAAACAGCTTTTGTCATGGTTCTTGGCCAGCCAGACTGTCGAATAAGACCCGAAACCAAGCTTGTGAACAACTTCGTAGCGATTATTCTGATATCGATCTCCAATGTGTGTTGGATGGGTAGCCACTGGGAAATAGTTTTCGAGATCTTCGACGCCTTCCTGCCACTGATACAGCAACGGGGGGAGACTCTCGTGGTCGGAAGGTATTGGAAATGTTTGACAGGAAAGCTCCTCAGAGCGCTGAAAAGATAGACTTTGACGAAAAGGGACGAGGTAATTTCGATTACTGATTCTCGAAAGATGCAGAAAAGAAGAGCCATGGGCCTGTCTCAACTTGCTGGGGAAGAGTCGGAGCATCTGGCTGATGTCGATAAAATGTTGCTGTGTTTTCAATTGGAGGTCAAAGAGGCTCGCTCACCACAAAGGAGAAACAGGCAGCTGTTTCACGTTGTGCAATGGCGCCAAGCGATGGTTTGTAAGAGATCAAAGGTTACTACCTAGGTAGAGATTATATGTACTCTGTACTGTGTAACCACTCAATTTGCAATCATTCAGAGTTGTTAAACTAAGATGATGGACACGTCTGTTATTTGGTTCCTAGGCCTATACCTGCAGTTGCTATCTGATCTGATCAAGCCCTCGTTAGTTAACAGGTAAGCCTAGGCTTGGCACTCTTTTAGACAAAGCTAATTTTATAAACCATATGGATGAATAAAATTCCGAAGTTTTTTTTTTTTTTTTTTTTTTTTTTTTGGATCTAACTATTTGTTTCAACTAGTCAGGCATAAATAGGCTAGTCTCTCGGAATACGTCTATCCGCATAGACCTTCGAAGGAGATAGAACCGCGCAAGTGTTGTGCCAGGAAGTCACACACATCAGCTTCAGAGAATCTGGCCCATAAATTCGATCGTATCATAGTAAGTTTGTACTGTACATACAAAAGACTGATGTAAAAAGAATAGAAAATTTTCTGATGATTTATATGAGAGTAGTTATCAGAAGAAGAAGAGACTGAGGAGTGAATATCTCAAGAAAGACTCAATCAAGAGGTGTCTCTCACTGTCACTGTTGTAGCTCTTCTTTCTTTGTGGAATATTGGGCAGCTGTCTATTTAGTTTCTCATATTCAAGTTATGTCAGTTTCAACAAAGCCTGATGGCTCAGCATAGTACATCAGAGGATGGACTCAGGCCAGCTGCGGTTGATTGCAATTAAATCTGGAAATTTGATTCAATCAGGGCATGGTTTGAAGCAGAGCAGAGGTTTTGATTTAATTTTATTCTTATCAGATCCGTATTCAAAGTCAGGAAAGAAGGCAAGAAGAAAGCACCATATACAGAAGTATGATTGGAGGCAACGTAGGCTCAACCACACCGATCAGAAGATGGAAGAAGCTCATTACATCCTCGATGAATGAGAAATGACCGTTGTCTATACTCGAGTGTGTGTTAAGTTTCGCTTTAACTTAACCAAAGGCCCCGCCGTGTCACGGAGCATTTTGCAAGTTGCCAGTCATCGCGGGAGAAAAGATCCGCATACGCCGGAACGGGAGGAATTATATAAAACCAGTCCTGTTGTTGCACTTCGATGTAGGATCGAAGGAGAATATTAGGCGGGGATATGAATATAACACACCCAGAAGGCAGGTATCTAAATAGAGTTCTCAAGAATAAGATAACTATTAATTTGTGTGTCTTTGCTTTCTGCGAATAAGACTTCTAGATCAGTCAAGATACTCTTAGCGATATTGGATATTGTCTGGCAGAAGTTTGGAATATCTCATCATCTTTGAGTAGCGTCCCCTTGGTCAACTGCCTCACCTTCATCCTCCTATTGGTGCTGATGATCCGTTCTTTGCGATAGTTACCTTTCTGCCCTAAATCAGTGTGATCTAGCAAACCAGCGATCTCTTTCTTATATTCCCCATGTCTTTCAAGGTGTCGAGATTATCTTTCCCTGAAAATCCTCTACCTTGCCGCCGAACGTTTCGTGTTCATGAAATAACACCACCACCTCTCATGTGCTAATTGATGAAGCATCGCCGTGTGCCGGTTCCTAATCCTGTGTGTAAACATTGGAGTCATACTCGATCGAGGGCGCCTTTCTAGCCCACGTTGTACTGTACATGTATGTACTGTACATTGGCATTTGCATTTGATTATGAAACCAAAGCAGAATCGAGCTCCTGGCTTCAACCTATCATCCCCAAGATCCGTCCGTGCTACATACATTCAGCATGACCCCTCACAGAGAACCCCATAAATTCCTTCCAACGAAGGGGCAGGGCACAGGAAACGGGACACAGGATGGGAGAAGAAGAGGACAAGAAAGTGCGTCGTTGTTCAAGCCGTGTTTCCAAGGGCTATATAAATCAATAAGTGCAGCAACAGACATGTCTAAATGGAAATAGCGCATGATACATATCAAATATGGATGGCGAGCGTAATAGCCTTGGAACTGGTCTCAGAGCCCTGCTAACTGACACAAAAGATGCTAATTATTATTACTGTCAAAACTAATTTATATATGAATTAATAATATCCAATAAACATAGGGCGAACACTGGCAAATTTACGCACAATTCATGCAACAATAATTAACATGCAACACAAATCCTGCATTAAGAACACAGAGAGAGAGCGGAGAGAGAGAGGAGAGAGAGAGAGGAGAGGAAACAAAAGAAAGAAACAAAGATAAAAAATAAAAAATAAAAATAAAAGAATTTGTAAAAAGATCGGGTATACTGCCTCTCATACAGACTCATACATCCCATCCCATCTCCTTCCGGCCCCAGACAGACTGCAACTAGCGAGCAACAACAGCTTCGTTAGCATTACTCCGTATTAAATTGCCATTTCCCCCGGCGCGCCCTTCATTCGCTCAAGATATGATTTTTTTTTTTTTTTTTGAACATCAAATTAGATTATAATTATCATAGCAAAACATCATCCCATCCCGCTGAGACATACGTAACATCCCTCTTTTCTCGTCTTTTTCCCCCCCTTTTGTTGTTTCATTCCTTTTCCCCTTTTTTTCGTTGTTCCTCTTTTCCATCATTTTGTCCAGGCAAGCCAAGGTAATAATAACACTATACCCTTAACTCTCTCACTTGAACTTCTCCTTCAGCTTCGAGAAGATCGCACTGGCACGGTTCTTCTTTTTCTTCTTGGTTTGGCTCTCCTGATCCGTCGTCTGCGCTGTCGTGGGCTTGGTCGCTGCTTCCGCTCCCGCTCCAGTGGCCGGGGGTGCCTCGGTACCAGAAGTGTTTTTGGCAGCTGTAGAGGCGGCCGCAACTTCTGCTGGTGCGGTAGTCGTCCCCGGGCGCGTCGTGTCGGTTGGCTGTGTCTGCTCGGTCGTCGGGGATCCGGCGGTATGTGCAGTGGTGGCGGCTGGAGATTTCGGCGAAATGGATTCATCTTGGGTTGTCCGTGCTGGCTCGGGGGCAGGAACTGCTGCTGCCGCTGCGGTGGAAGTACCGGGTGCAGCAGCAGAGGTCTCCGCCGTGATGACGGGTGCGGGTTCACCAGCCTGATCAACGCGTTTCACGTCGTGGAGCAGCTGCTCTTCAACCTCCTTTTTCTCAGCCACGGCTAGAGGCACAGCCGCTGCTTCGGGGTTCCATTGCGCGTCATCGATGGACTTGCGAACGATTGCAGGGGCCCCACCAGAGGTATCTGCTCCAGCAGCTCCAGCGGCGGGTTCCACATTTCCAAGCAACTCCTCCTCAACCTCTTTCTTCTCCGCGACAGCGGCAGGGACACCTGCGGCTTCGGGCATCTTGTGGGCCTTCTCTAACGACTCCTTGACTACGTCGGGGACGTCGCTGGCGGCAACTTGCGGTTCGCTAGGCCCGCCTGCATTGCGGGTTGATTTCTCGAGCGGGACGGCACCGGCGAGCGCGGCAGTGGTGGATGTGGGAGCAGCGGATTGGACGAATGGTTCCACGACCCCATTAGTGCAGTGGGTTATTACGGGAAGGGTGGTAACTGTTTCTTCCGCTGGCGGTGCGAAGCCCGCGGTACTAGCATCTTTCTCATACCCTTCCTGACCCGTAGTGGCAGTGGAAGCCACTGTGTTTTGTGTGATGGTGCTGGGGTCAGGAACTGGTTCGCCTGGCTGGAGTTGGATTGGGTTCCCAACGCCTTCTGTCGCCGGGATTGGCTTGACTGTGAACTGCTCTGTTTCTCCAGCAGGTGTCACTGGGAAAGCGCCGGGAGTCGAATCCTTTTTACTCTCTAGTGTGGCATCCTTCGCGAGAGTGGCGGTGGTCGATTCTGGAGCAGCAGAAGAGATGGTGGAAGCGGCGGGAGCGGCGGTTTCAGTTTCTGGAACCTTGTCTGACTCTTTGGGGACACCTGCGGCTAAGGCTGCGGTTGTGGATTCTGGTGTAACTCCAGACATGGTTTCTGGAGCTTCTTTACCCGCTGGGGAAGCTGGTGCTGGAGTGATGACTTTCGTGGGGGGGAGTTGTTTAATGTGATGTCGGAGGAGAACGTTGTTGGTGTTATGATGACCGTCGTCTTCTTGGAGAGCCGTGGGATCTAGTTTCCAGGAACCGTCGACAACAAACTATCAGGCAACGTGTTACACGACAGGTCAGTCCAGGTAACGAGTTGAAAATAGGGCTCGCTCTATTTTCGGCGAGAAAAAACAAACAAACAAACTATAAATTGACCAAAAAAAAGAAGAAGAAACCAAGAGGGCAATAGGCGTTGCGAATGGATTTGAAACGATTTGACTTTAAGAATTGCAGAGATGCGAAACAATAATATATAATAATGATGTCAACTTTAAGACAGACTTGGGGAAGTTGGGGGTTTGGGGATTTGCCGGCAGGAGGCGGGGGGAGTGGGATGGGATTAATGTTGACACATTCGGGTAACTTGTCAGCTTTGGAGTGAGTGTGCAAAAAGCTCTAGCTGTAAAATAAAAACCCAACGCAAATTGGGCCCCAAAATGGAGTCGCAAAAAGAATCAAAGGGCTTCCTTTCAAGTAAGGGCAAAGTTTGCGACAGATGGCAAATAATGACGTATAGCGCTACGCACTAGTACTAGTCCGGTACCTGGCGTGGTATGAGTTCATATAGCTAGGCCACAGTATTCGCAAAGTACCCGAACTAAAAATACGAGGGGCAGGAAAAAAAATAAAAATAAATAAAGCAATGAAAGAAGGGGAAAGAAAAAGCAAATATCATATCGAGCCTTGGCCATCGACAGCTGCAGCTAGCTGTACGGAGTAGGTTGAGGGGAAATAACAGCCTTGCGATCAGTCCTTGGGGCCGAACCCACAGCGCTCCCAAATAACCAGCGTGCCAATCAATGGGAGTAATGGCAAACTCTTGGCTTCCGTGTTCTTTACCAATCCCCCACAACACCCCGGCCAACAATATCATTTTGTTGGTTGTAGCCGATGTATTTCGGCATGAACATGCACTTTCAAAACCTGTGCGGAAGTCGGAAGAGGGGGAGAGGACGTTCGGCTATCAAGAGGCCACAAGCCCACTCTTCAACTAGCCACTGGGGAGATCATCGGGGAGTTGAAAATCACATCATATGGTGAGCCCCACCGCATGAATAGTGCATTGGCGTTCTGCAGTGCGAGGATGTGGCAAGAAAACGCCAGTATAAGGAGCGGGGTTCAGAGATAAGAAACATAAACTGAAAAAAACGGCAGGGTGCGGGATTGATCAACGGGGGATTGAACGAATCAAAGTAAGTAGCAAAAGAAAAAGGGGGGAAGTCAAAATAAAATAAAAGATAGATGGAAAATAGAATAAGAATAAAAATATCATCAAGCCAGTCAGCCAGTCGCAACGACAATGCCAGGGGTCAACCAGAGCGTGATATTCCATTTTCCTCTTCTTATTTTCATCGCATCCTATTATTTTCACCACCACCCTTATGCCTTTAACTCATTCACCCTTCTCTGCCTCTCCATCTCGCCCCGGTGTGTGTGTGTGTGTGTGTGTGTGTGTGTGCGCATACCTTGTAAAGCAGCTTCCCTCCAACGATCGGCACAGCAACATCTTTCCTAAACCCATCCTCTGTCCGATCCAGCTTCACCGACCGCGCCCAGTTATCGAATGTACCCGTAACGTAAACTTCGTTCGGTGTTGGATCGGACCTGGTATGGATTTTTAGAAAAATGGGTTAGCCGCTTGATCAATCATCACTTCTGTGTTCAATTGCCCAAACCGCAATTGCGGTGGGGTTTGATACGGGACAGGGCGGGGAGCTAGAGCTGACGCTGGCACTGGAGATGGCAATGGAGCTGGAGCTGGGAAGATGCTGATGGTTTTATGTTTTTAACCCCCAGAGACACAGCGCCCAAAAAAAAAAAAAAGAAAAAGAAAAAGCCCTTATTCGGATGCCCGGCGATTTTGTCATCTCTTTTTATCCTCTTCTTTGATAACCGCACATGGCAACTTTTTTTCGCGCCACGGCGGAGATAAAATTCGATCTCCCCCAACCCTCTTTTCTTAACATATATGCAGCTTCATCTCCAGCTCCATAATACCAGCTCCATCATACCATCTCTCCCACTCGTTTCGCAGGTTGCCGGAATGATTGCCAATCCCGAACGCTAATGAAAGACTCGTACGACGCGGAAGGATATGTCCTTGTTTTATTCTCTTATGGCTCCAATCTGCCGGCATGCCATTTCGCAGCAGCCATGCC